GAATCAGTATCGTTAACTTCGGCTGTATCGAGCTCGCCATAATATCATACTCAATAACTGATTTACAGCTTTTTTCACGATATTATGGTTTCTTTATTACATATTTTCGTTTAGTCTCTTCATCTTACTGTCTTTTTTCTCAAATTTACAGTACTTCAATTATTTATTCAAAGGTGAGTATGGCCTACAAAAGTTTATGCAGAAAACAGCACAATTAGCGCATATGAAACGTAATCTTCCGAAATATTCAAATATGCCTAAAAATCTTTCATGGACTAGAATAAATAACTTTAACACAGCTTCCAGTTCTTCTAAGTTTATTTCATCAAATTTCTCCAATCCAAATAATCTTGGAATGAATAGAACGATTTATCGATCTGTCGGTGATCAATTAGGAAATTTTATTTCATCCAGTCAAGATATTGCTCATGCTTATTCCACAAATCAACTACCTAATTATTATGAACATAATGGGACAAATCAACTGAATACTCGTTTACTTCCTCCTCATAGAAAATCTGAAGTGAACATTTACAATAATAGATTAGTGTCAGAATTAAAAGATTATCAACACCAGAGAATTAAACATCACAGACCTTATATTTATCCAAATCACCGTTCAATTGGTACATTGGATATATATGAAAGTGAAGAATTTTTGTAAATTAAATTCAAATGTAAAGAATATTCTCTTTGTTTTTTTTTAAAAATAATTCTATGGTGAAGAATTCAAATACCGCTTGAGCGTATCTACTTATATGTTCGTAATAATTTTGAAAAAACTGCGAAGCAACTATAGTCCCCTTCAGTGTAACTACGTGTCTTAGCTTACTATATATATAGATGTATGTAAAATAATGTTTTGCGTTTTGTTGCAAAGAATAGTTCAAATAATTCATATATTTTTACCATTTTTATTTATAATCACAAATATATTCGAAATAATTTCAGCTAGAATACTGTAAGAAAAAAGGTTCGTAGTATGTAATCATTCTAGTTGCGCCGGTTAGAACACTGGAACTGTCTTTGGTTTTGGAAATCATTAAATGGATTTCGCCGTAGCTCATTAACGTTCAGTATTTATATACTGAGAATTAAGTGCAGTGTGAATCTTTAAGCAGTTCAAAACCGTACTTATAAAGTAGCAAAATCTTTTTCTTATACAACAGATATCTGGATTTCCCATTGGTGAAATTATATACATTAATATTAACCGAAGTAAATTATTACTTTTGTATAAGTGAGAAAAATAGAAACATTTTGGCTTATATTACTAGATCAATACTCTCGCTTTTAGGACGAACTAGATCGTAGTAAGATTCATGCGACAATCCTTCCAACAACATCTAGACAGCATAACTCCACCTGGACCCATTTTAGGGTCATTGCTGGTTCAAAGCTTGAATAAAGAAGGAGGGTTGGGTGTGAGTTTGACAACTCCATCTCGTACAAACGCTTATGTAAAAACGCTTTTCAGAATTGGTCATTCAGACCATCTTAATTCTACACAGGGAGTTGAATGCTCTTCTTATGTCATCTGATGGTGTAAGTCAAGGACCTGTAGGAGCTATGAAGCCGATGACCTTCTTGACAACTGTAAAGGAAATGAATGCAGATAGGTATATATATATCTTCGAACCTCCTCGCTTCTGACTTTTGATTTCACTAGGTGGGCACGATTCAATAATAGGTGTTGTTGTTTAAGTATTGTCAAACTGCAATACCTGTGGAATCTTCAAGTTTACACATCCAAACTTATTAACCAGCCAAGCATTGTAACGCTTATTGGTTCCATTAATCCTGTCACCCTCAAACAATAGTCTCACTCGTTACGAGATTCACAATCTCACAAATAACCAGAAAATGGACCAGATCTAATACAGTGAAAGTTTCACGCGTCCTTCATTATGCATCACTGAAGATGTGGAACTGGACAGAAACGACAGGTACCAAGCACAAAGAAATTATGTGTCTTGCACTGGTTCTTCAAAAAGATAATGAATACTAGATAAGCGCAATAATTGAAATACAAGTCTCACAGAAATGTAGTGTGATCATTGCTAAATAATGCATCAATATTAGTTCGATTTTAGTCGATACTTAGCAAATGATGATAGTAGTAACAGCTAATAATTTTCCATGAGTAAAGAGATCCTACAAATTTTAAATATAAGCCGATCATATTATTTTTACTAAAAGTTAAGTTACTAAGTTAAGGCGCTCAAACAAGTTTCCGCAAGGAATCATGTTTTTAGAAGTCATACAAGACACTGCTAAGTAGCTTGCTTAGATATTATACTTGTTATATCCTGGTGAAGACATAAGTACGGGTAACTCTTATAACCTATTAGTGGATGATTTTTCTATATATATTCTTATTGTATAACCATTCAGTGACTAGATTATGTATATCTATATTCATCTTATTATAAGCTTCATTTTGACTCATTGATTATTGTTATACGATTTACTGTTCCTAAATTATACTCAGTTTATTGATTACTGCCTCCCACGTTCACAGCCACATTTGGCTTGATTTTGTATATTTTTACTTTCAATTATCCCTGATTTCTGGTTTGATTACCTTTAAGTCATTTAGTAATGTGACACACTGAAGACAGCACTTTGAGGCCCTACGCATCCGATGTCTCTTCAATGCTGTAGAAGTATCAAACATAAATCCGACTACCGAAGAAGAATATCTGCATGGATATAATAACACGAACATATTCATGCATTTAAAAATTGACGCAGAAGCTAAAAATTCACTCTACAAGGGATAAATATCGACTCCATTGATAGCTCGGAAACGCGTTATATGTCTTCAGTCTTCAGTAATAAAGATAGTAGGTTGATGAACCTGTGTTAATCCTGACAGATTGCCTTCCAGTGAAGGTCCAGCTTCCCCTTGAAAATGTTCACTGATAGGGCTGATACTACTTGTCCGAGTAATGCGTTCCAGTCATTGACCACTCGATGAAGAAACGGGAACCCACCTTTAATTTATTAGATTGCGGTTTGTGAAACTTCTTGCAATGACCTCGGAGAATATTGGTGCTGGAAGGAGCAAAAAGATAAGACATATTAACACCCAAATCGTAATGAAAAATACGAAATGCCAGTATAAGGTCACCTCGTGTCTTACGATAAGACAAGGGTAAAAGGTTTAGACGTTTCAAACGCTCATCGTAAGGGAGTTTAGAAAGACCTTCACTAATTTTGTTCCCACACGCTGGACATGTTCAAGTGATTAATAATAATAATTTAGTATCCTTCATCAAACATGGGCTAGCTGCTTGGATACAGTACTCTAGGTATGGCCTTACATAGGTGGAATATAGCATTAAAAACATCTTGTCAAAGCATTTAAATGCTCGGCGAAGTGACTATACCGCACGATAACCTTTGGAAGCAACCACGTTGCAGTGCGTAGAAGTTTTTAAGTCGTGACTTGTAGTTACTCCTAAGTTTTCATGTGCTTAAAAGCGTGAAAGAGATATACCATCAATAGTATGATGGTAACTATTACTGTGTCCGATGTGCATTAGCAAACTCTTCCTGGAATTAACTTCTAAGCCCCAATCATGAGCCCATCTAACTTATTCGTCTATATCAGCTTGGAGATGAAAACCTTTAGACTCACATCTAATTGTTCTCAAGAACTTAATATCATCCTAAAACAATAACGTCAACGACTTAAACAATAGAGGTAATTCATTAATATAGAAATGGAAAAGTATATGGTCTGAAATGGCATCTTGGGGCGCATCTCTTTTGACCGGCTTCTATTCGGATAGCGTTCCATTTACCCTCAATTTCTGTCTGCGGTCACATAAGGTTTAGCTATGGTCTTTTTACAAATATTTCGGATTTTTTATATTCGCACTTAAATGATGCCTGTCCTATTGACAAGAATAAGTCCCAACTTTCTGGTTTCCTCATTAATCCATGGAGAGCGATGTGATAGCTTACGTGCTGACCGTGGGATAAACGGTCGAGTTACGGAATCGAACGTAGCCTTAAACCTATTTTATGCATCTTCGATCGATCCATCAGCATCGATCGACCAGTCAATCGAGATAGTACAGTCTGTGATTGCCGGAATGTTAGCTGTCCAGATATTAGAACGGGGTGGAACAGATGCAAATTCTATACTTAAAGGAAATTACGACGTGCTCAATATTCACCAGTGGGGGAAGGTGTTGCATGTCGACGACGCCTTCTCAGTGGTGTATGAGGACCAATGACGGATCATGTCCCAAGTCAATATATGTCGGTTTTATGATACATTGTACAAGTGCACACTGAATAACTGTTGATAGAAGGTCGCTATCGTAACCCCCACCTGAAGTTGTGAGCTCTATCCAGATGATATGGGGTGCGTTGAAGTCTCCAACGATGTGACAACATTCTGCCTTACGTGTCTTAGGAAAAAGTCGTCAGCAAGGCAACGCGGAATGCGATATATTCCTCCTATAATCACTAACCCGTTTCTAGACCTAATTGTACAACATACTACCTCACATGTACCACTAACATGCTCCTCTGATATGATTGAGTTTATGTGAAGGTGGTCCCTAACATTTAAGATTATGCTCCTCCCTTACGGCTTATAACTCTATCACTTCTGATACAGTTGTAGCCTGAAATGATGTGAGAACAGTCTATACCTACAGTGAGCCGAGTTTTAGTGACAACAATTATATCGGGATTTAATCTGTCCACCATCAAACTTAGCCCAGACATCTTATTCCGAAGACTACGGGCATTCATGTAGCAAACATTTAAAGTGTTTTTAGAAACACACGTTCTACTCATACAGATCTTGGAAGCCAATGCTTCTGAGACCTGATGTGTGTGCGAAAAATCTTGGAATCTTTTTACTCATTTCAATATGAAGGACAAACAGAATAAGTCACTTCATAAATTATTACTCCTGTAAAACTGCGTCGAACCAAATCTACATAAGTGCTGTTTTATTAATCTGAACAATACAAAATACATAGAAGGACAGTGAGGGAACAAAAATGAAGCTCTATGTCACTCGCTAAATACTTGGTCGTAACAAGGAAATTGGATATTGTGCAACTTTTCAAATATCGCGTTACATGGTGTCGGTTGTTGCGATCTGAATATTTTGATATTTTCTTGTCCACTTAACTGCATTGCATAAACGTCCTTCACTTTAGTAATGGGCTTAATGTACTTTTATTTGTACATACTGTGACACATGGTTACCAGTGTTATGCATTTTTACTTGTTCGTTTAAAATAAACGTTATTGATTTGGCCCTTAAAAGTTCTCTTAAGGTGTATTGCTGAGTAAGCTAATCCTCTTCTGTTTCAAATGACTGCCTGAACTTCACAAAACACATAGCTAGCATGGATAAAGATCAAAAACACTATATCTGTAGTATGTAAACACGAAGGGATTCAGGTGAAAATTCGAGGACTCACCTTTTGTTTCATTTTCTCCCATTTCCAAAAATATACTCATCCTCACGGTTCTTAGAAGGTTTTAATGTTAGGAATTCTTTATTATGAAAAGTCACATTATTAAATAACAATATATTATTCAAATCCACTCAAAATAGGAGACTCGATCATATTCATAGTTTTCTGTTAATTCGGTCATAAACTGTGTTTAACACTCAAACTAACCTTTTTTGGTGCCTGCAAAAAGTTTCTATTAAGGAAAAGTGGTAACTGATCCTTTGTTGGATTTGAAGAAATAAGTGACCATACTGGGTTTTGTCACGGTTCAAAACATGACATAGGATGTTGCTATCTTGAGTTTCAATATTTCGTGCTTCCGTTTTTATTTAGCTGTCATAGTTATGTTTCGAGAGAACCTTTCCGAGTTCGGAGTACCTGTCTCCTACCTAACTATTCACTTAACTCCATATAGTAAATGAGCTGATAACATACATTTTGTGTTGATATGTGGGGCTCGAAGAATATGTGGATATTCTGTTCTTTTAATTGAAAAATGTTACATTAGAACTAGTCTTTATCAGTGCGAAAATTGGCCGTATGTAGTAATTTGGTTTAATTCATTTTCTACCATACTCAAGAAACTTTACCAGCCTGCATTGGTCGGTCGCTGGTGAACTACTAGGAGGGGATAAAAAAAGTCTTATTCAGTTAAGTAACCCGTGGTGTAGGTCGTAGGCGTATCCCAATCGTTACTCATATCTGAGGGAACCACCGATAGGTTAGTGGTTGGGCATAGTTTTAGATAGATATTTGGTCAGCAAGTGAGACCGTAAACCCTGAAGCCAATCATGTCGCGTCGAGACGTGTGAGCTAGTCGGAGCCTATGGTAACAGACCATCCTTTATGGCCCAAAATTCGACTCGGTAGTACAGATGTATCATTTCTTTATCTCTCCATGGATCTTCGGTTTCTGTTGTTTCTTACTTTCATCCGACATTTTACAAACACATCTTCAAAGTTATTTGTTCTCCAAATAAAATCGTATTAATTTGTTCCCTTACATCGCTGTTGTTGAACTGATAAACATTTGTTCCAGATCATATGTTGTTGATGACTGACTGCAAATTTGAACCATATTATGTGGTAGTGTCAAGTTTGTTTATCAGTATTTTTAGGACCTCAGTTTTTTCCTCCATGCTGGAATGTCGTAATACAAATCTCCCCCTATTGTTTTAGACATCAGTATTTACTTCACTTACAATCCTAACATTGGAACTAACGTCCATGTATAATACATGCTTTAAGATTTTGCCCTAATTATTAGAGGTCTGTCATAAACGTAGCCATTTATATAATCTCACTTTGCACTTGGATCCGCTGTAACAATTTCAAGTATATCTGTCTAGTTTCCATCGATAACCTGTCACTTTTACAAACTTATCGTGAGTTTAGTTAGATTGTCAGTTTTTGTTTATTGTTGGTAACACTATTATAAGCTTGTCATTCTCTGTCAGTGTTCCTAGTATTCGTCGTAGTAAACAATTGTCGCATAGGAAATTTCAAGGTTTCGGAGTCAGAAATAAAAGATTAGAACTTTAAAATGTCAAAGAACTTATTATGCGCGTCATATTAGCGAAATTTTAGCAAGAACACCATACCTAACCATCATGAAGTAAACTCTACAAGTTTAATAAAATTACAAACAGTTATCTCGACTGACTTGGACATTCCATCATCCTTTTATACATAAGGTGTCACTCAATTATCAAAAATCTCATTCCCGACCGTTGCTGCTACCTTGACGTGGTGGTCGGGCTTGCCTATCGTGATGAACAAATCGAGCTATACTGTCTAGAACAATCGTTGCTCAAGGTCCTACCATGCTAGACAGGTCAGTTGAAGAGCGGTAAGACTAGAAGCAGCAATCCCAAGGTCCGAAGGCGAAGTCGTACTGCCGACTGTAGAGGTAGTTGTTAGGAAACGGGTACTAGGTAATGATGGAAAATCGATTGATGAAGTAGTGAAACTTCATCAGTTGAGATGGTTGGAACACGTGTTACGTATGCCCAACCACCGACGTGCAATGTTTTATGGTGTAGGAGTAGGTTGGGAGAAGGCTAGGGGCGGCCAGACCAAAAGAAGTCACAAATCCATGAAGTCAGTGACAAGTGGACTGAGCCATGTTGGTAGGTGTAGACTACCTGGTTAGGATTCGCGAGATGATAGTAATCGATGGTTAGAGACCCTGAATGACATGGCTCAAAATTGTTTGCTATGGCGAAGGTGCATCCACTCTTTGTGTTCTACCAAATTTTAATCTTTATTTTCTTCATGTCCCTATTCTTTTTTCTCTTTTCCAATTTATTTCACTGTATTATACTCCTTCAATAACATCTTCAAACCCTAATCTTTCACATAATGCTTATACTCTTACTACTTCTACCACTATGGGATTTGAATCGACAACTGCATCTCTGTGCTAATGTGGTATGGCAACTCGAACTGATGTAAGTATGTACGAAGTTCTACGTTGTGACTGACTGACTGACAAAAAGCTCATTACATACCGTTTTTATTTTGAATTTGTACTGCCAGCAATACACGTTTTTTAAGTTGAAGAACAGCAAGAGTAAATCAAAGGCGACAAGACTAGTGGTATGAATGATATAAACTGAGAATCGGGATTTTTTCTTCTGACTCACGTTACAATTATTGTTTTGCTCTAAATTCTATATAATACCTACGAAACCGTCTAATGTTCTTTGATCCTTATAGGACTTATTTATTAACTAGCTGCTATTAGACTGAACCTTGAGGACTCAGGAAGAATGGATCAGAGGATACTAAAAATTGAAGAGCATGTTAATGAAACTTTGAAAATGAACCTCAAGTACTTATAGTGTTCCTTGAGTATATCTAAAATACAGAAAAACTTTAGATGCTGGGGACTTAGTGTATGGTCAAATTTCGGAATATTTAGAACTCAAAAATCTTATTGAGAAAATGAAGGATATCGATATCCCTCAAAATAACTTGAAAACCAAAGTAAATGTCGGAAGCAATATTTATGTAAATGGATTAATGTAAGAGCACAACATTATTTAATGTACAGTTATTCTGTTGAACCTATTGCAGTTGACATTGGTCTAGGATTTTACCTCGAGTGCAGTCATGCTGAAGCCTTAAATATTATTGATTCGCGCATCTCTATCCTAAATGGGCGTGCCGACATGTACAAGAAAAGAGCTAATTCTATAAAAGCTCAGATAAAGTTGTTCCTAGAAGTAAGTTATCTGGTCATTTCTAACATTATTTTAAGGGTCTCCGAAATCTCCAAAATATTAAACGGAACTGCTAAACAGTAATAAGATTTTTCTGTAAATATGTGTACTCTACATTTACTTAGATGTTTCAAAACCGTTTATATACTACAACTATTATTTTACTAATAAACTAAGTAATTCGAATGCCTATTCTTTCACATGTTGCTTTTACAGGTAACTAGGATTTGAGTCATAAATTTTAGCAAACAATTGTGAACCCTTGAATGTTTCTGTAGATGATTTTTCTACGAAGCATTGAGTTGCAATATTCTATTTAAATGTATATTCACAAATCACTTTCCTGGGGTTTCTAAGTATGTAACAGTTCGATGTCCAAATATTTGTATACTGCATTAACTTTTTCAAAAAAACACCAATATATCCATGGGCATTACGTGTAACAGTCAGTTACAACGTAGAACTTCGTACATACTTACATCAGTTCGAGTTTCCATACCACATTAGCACAGAGATGCAGTTGTCGATTCAAATCCCATAGTGGTAGAAGTAGTAAGAGTATAAGCATTATGTGAAAGATTAGGGTTTGAAGATGTTATTGAAGTATAATCCAATGAAATAAATTTGGAAAAAGAAATTACGTGTAACAGTAAATTGGAATCTACATCATGCCTTTTGCCGTCGTTTTAATCATTTTGCCATATTTAACTACTTAACACCAAGGGTGTCATTGGGAACCTTAACCCGATACATCGCTGAGGAACAATTAGTTAAACTACTAGGTTAACGAAGTAGTTGGAACGCGTACGAACCTCTGGTTTGTTCTAAAACATGATGCCGCAACTCCAAATAAGTTAAAATTACTATCCTAAGAATATGTTAGGAAAGTCAAGGTGATGGCGTTGACATTATAATAGGAAAAACAATCTAGTTGGCATGCTAATAATGTTAAAACAAAGAAAAACAACTGAACAGCATCCATTAGGTTGATAGATAGAACACAACATAGTCCTGAAGTGAAATAAATACAAGGTATATTTTAACAAATAACGGAGGATCACAAACAGCTGCTCGTAGCACAAAGAACTGTGATGACCGTAAACTAGTCAATGTATTTTAAAACCATTTGTGATTTTAATGCAAAAAACGCACTGGCAAAAATCTAATCGCAGTTAGGCATAGTAATTTAGATTAGTGCGCTTCTTAGCTTGAACTTCCAAAATGGCATCCATGTAATCTTCGTGTGTTACTTCAGACGCACTTCGACGCAACGCAATCATACCCTGGAAAAATAATAATAGTTTCGGGATATAAGCAATCACTAACTCATTTTCTCAGCGACATGCAAATATCTCATAAAAGATTAAACTGAGTGCCTATAAGCCGATGAGTGGACTTGAACCAGTCATCGTTAAAGTATACTGACGAGTTTTAGCTTTTTGCAGATCGCTATGAGGATTTCCAGCTGAAATAAAGGTAGGTCGTTAGGTGAATATATAATTCTCGGACTAAGGCATAAAGAAAAATTAAGTTTTGTAAGATGGTAAGGAATTAATTGCTGAAGACTTCTAATAATGAATCACTTCAGCAACTATTGGCGCGTGCACAACTGGTTGCTTTGAAGTCTTGAATAAACTGTCCATGAGTTGCAATATTCTATTTACTCAGTTGACTCATGGGACCAATTTTAACTCCCGGAAAATCCTTGACACTGCAAGTACTAAGATAAACATTTTATATCTAGTCGATAAATTGATAGAAAGACCCCAGTTACTTTACTTATGTACTTACTACTTAATTTCCATATGAAAACGGACTGGACTGTTACTTTAATTTTATCTATTTAGTCTTTTTATACATTTTTTTAATCGTTCACATTAATAAATATAGGTCGGCTTATTCACCAGGCACTTGGGAATGAACCACGTTGATACTGCCCCGCTACCTAAACCTAAGTAGGTGTGGGGGGGAGGTTCAAACGTGGGCGTTAGTAACTGAAACTCAAACACCCTAACCTATAAGCCGCTACTCCACGATCCTTTAAACTACTTTAAATTATATCCACTTAGATTAGCTAATATAAATCTTATTATTATTTTGGTCAGCCGATCACATCCATGCGTACCTCTCTAATGGGTTTCGCGTGATGCTTAATGGTGGCAGTTATAGGGACTAGGTAAACTAATCTAGAAACTGCTGTCGTATCGCAGATGCTTTTACGGCTTAACTCATTTGGAGATCGTGGATTTCACACGAGTTCCTCCAACTAGTTTATTCGAGAGATTTTAACTTTAGTTAAATTTCTCGAAGCTTGTTATCATGGTCTTTTCTACTTCATGTTTTTTAACGTACCAACAAGAGACCCTCAAATAGACTTAGATTTGTTCGGCACTGCATAAATCACACTCTGGGTTAAATAAAACGCTCAAATAACAGTTTTCATATTACTAGTTATCCAAAACAAAGAGCACAGCTAAAAATAAATCAAACCATAAGAACTTTTTTTCAACAAGCTTTTGAATAGTGAGATTGGAGGACTGTTAGAATTCCCTAATCAGTTTAAATTTGTGACGGACACTAAACAGCTAAAGTGGACTACAATTAAAATGTCAGTCACCAAATACAACAAAAATGATAATGGGTACAACTTACGGCTTCCACACACACAGCTTTACACTGAGCTCCATTAAAGTCATCTGTACAGCGAGCTAATTCTTCAAAATTGACATCTTTTCTGAAGTGGTGTTTTGGTGAGAATATATTGAATAACTTACTGTACATTCATCTTGCGAGAGTGAATCTGCATAATGCGGGCACGTGCTTCTTCGTTTGGTGCAGGAAACTCGATTTTCCGGTCAACTCTACCACTTCGTAACAGCGCTGGGTCTAATATATCTACTCTATTTGTAGCCGCAATCACCTTGATGTCATGATTTGGTTGGAAACCATCCAGTTGATTGAGAAGTTCTAACATTGTTCGCTGTACCTCGCGATCGCCAGCTTTTTCACTATTGAAACGCTTTGTTCCTTAAAACAAGTATAAAACAGAAATAAGACTCAATTTAGTATGAGTTAGAAGCCTCAGAGAGTTTCTGAAATATGTTATTCTGATAACTCCAGGAAGGATATAGTTACGATTAGAAATCAAATTTTATTGTATTAGTGGGTGACTATTTCGTAGAATCTTGTACTGTTCGCTGGTACGATTGCTTAACAAAATTACTATAGTAGCAATATGTTTTAAGAAGTATTGTTGAATTAGATTAAGTAACAGAATAACAGTTACACAATGAATAACTAGTTGCCTAGTACCACTAGCATCTTATGTACTGATTCTTACTACATATATGATTTGTGTGAAATATAGACATAGGCACGAAAAGGTGTTGGTGCTCGAACAGTAAAGGTGAAGATACAACGCCCCTCCAGCAAAGGAACAAATAAAATAGTTTGGAATACAAACGCTTTGAGCATAGCGGTCTCAATAACGATAGATTTCTGTGGCCAAGAAATAGAAGATTTATCCGCTTTATGGAACAGCTGAGCTGAACCACGAAAAGTTATAATTACTAAAGTAATGTTCTGGTAATACTTAACAAATTGTCCGCTTTCTAGTACTATGATCACCAGTAATATTCGGTTTAGCAAAGAGCACTTATTTTGATGTGTCCCAGTTTTGCAATGATTTTGCCCAATCAGCCAGATTCTACCGACTTTTGGAGGTATGAAGATAAAATACTCCGTATCCAATGGCAAATAGGAATGAACAATCGGACAATCAAAGAGTATGCACTACAAGATATGTGAATAAACATAAAGGAAGTTGTTACTTTTGGGTGGTTTCGTTCTATGAGCTGGATGGTTTAGTTGCGGAGTTTTCATCGTTCTTCAGTTAGAAGCTTGCGTTCAAAAGAATAACCAAAGATCCACAACCAGATCATCCAGCACAGAGAACGAAACTCCACCAAAAATTAGCCACCTGAGCTACAAATCTCCACCATCTGTTATTAGCGCAAGAGAGAAAAGACTTAGGTTTATGAATCCTAATTAATAAAGTCTCAGTACTACTTCATATGATCCAATAACACATGACTTGTCTTGCTTCAGGCACAAACAAGTACTTATTTATCACCTAAGTACTTGAGACTTGACTCTATAACCAGTGCTAGTTTTTTCTAGACACATAACAGAAGTGTTGCAGAAAGAAAATCTTTAGCCCTTTAAAAAAGTCTGGAAATTTATGTATTTTGACGTGTCAACCAATTGCGGAACTGTATAATTAGTCACATGAGTAGTTTTAGTCTACATACCAGTCAGTCTGTGATCTAAGTGAATGTTTTTAGTCGAAAAACATCACTGTTAAGGCACTCCCAAAGTGAGTGTGGTTTGCAGCTATGTCAATTCATGAAAGCTTAGAATGTCTAATAGGAGCTTTGTCCACACTTCTGCCTCATGATCATAACCACTTTACTCAATGTGCTTGGCAAGATGCATTCTCAGTATAAAATATCACAACCAGGAATCCATTCGTAAGAACATAGCATTATAACTATCTAGGAAGCATGTATGACAGCAGAAACACACTAAACACGACACATAACATGAGACAAATTAGCACAATATTTGCCAAAATAAAACATGATTGGCCATAAAACAACAAAAGCAAAAGGTGAATTTTTCAGATGAAGTTTTCGACTTGCGTGAATTTATGAACAACTATCCGAATATCAACAGACTAAAAACGTTGAGACGTATAAAGAAGTATATAGGTGCGTCAAGCAATCAAGTGACAGTATTTAGTGATATACGTGAAATGGCGGGAGGAGCGAGTGAAGGGACAATGAGTCCAAGCTAGAGACATGATCTCTAATAATACAAAGGTACTCGTGAAGAAACTCAAGTGAACTAGTGTAACAGAACTTGATATTTTGACTAAGTATTTCAAATATATATATAGAAACTTTTAAATTTATGACGTTTACCGATGGCGTCGAGCTCGTCAATGAAAATAATCGCTGGAGCTTTTTCCTTGGCCAATTGGAAGGCATCCCTGACCAGTTTGGCTCCGTCTCCAATGAACATTTGCACTAACTGAGGACCAGCAAGTTTAAGAAACGTGGATTTCGTCTGAGCTGCACATGCACGGGCCAGAAGTGTTTTTCCTGTACCTGGTGGACCATACAATAAGACTCCCTTTGGTGGCTGAATACCAAGTGCCTCGAAGCGATCACGATGCGTCATAGGGAGAACAACAGCTTCAATCAATTCCTTGAAGAGTTAAGTTGAGTGGATAATTTCTTACCTGTATCTGTTTATCAAGCCCACCAATGTCACTATATCTCTCGGTTGGACGTTCATCAACCTCCATAGCCTTTACTCGAGAGTCGAATTCTGGCGGAAGTTTTTCAAGAATCAAGTATGAGTCTTTATGTACTCCAACTAAGTCGCCAGGTTTTAAATCTTCGGGAGGTACGAGACCAATGACCGGGAGGAAGTAGGTTTGCCTAGTACTTGTTTTGATAACTGCACATTTTCCCTTACGCTGAGAATCAAGGTCAACGTTTGCTCCCTCTTCTATCTCATCTTCCTGAGGTTCTACATCTAGCAACTAAGGGAATTAAGATAAGGAAAAAAAGATGGTACTTCGACGACGGTTGCCACTAAGTAGGGAAGTGCCTTGTTCATTTTTATCTTGCTTTTACTATCCTTAACTTTTGTCTGTTTCGTGTTTATTTCATGATTGACGTGTTTCAACTCAGACTGCATGAACTAAACAACGTTATGGTATGATATGTTGATTTACACGAATTTCAGAATCAAGCAGTCTTGCTCTACTTGTCAGTTCTTCAGTAGACATGCGCATAACTTCGTCCACCATAGCTTCCTGAATCAAAAATATCATAGTTGAATAGAGTACTTACGTCCACATCATCCCATATCGGTCTTTCTATCGTCGAAGTCATGACTGCGCAGAGAATTCGAACCTCGCGGCCTGAACGAAGGTCAGGATAGGGTTCACATATTGGCAAGTGACGGTTGACAGGGAAGGAAAAGCTTTCGCTTAACAATATACCGTGTCTGGTACTAACGAATCAAGAATAACTTCTTATATATATATAACAGGCAGATATAGATGAGAAAGACAAAAAGATCAATGTTAATTTTCGCGATTCACAGTTCTGTGTGGATCTCTCCAAACTGTGAATGTATTTGGAGAAGGTACTTATATCACATGTTCAGTCATCCGTTTCCTCATACATCAAAGGAAATTCCAATTGTAGTTCATTATATTTCGAATTTCGACCAGTCTTAGAATCTTCACTTAGACGATCAAATATTTTGAACATATCTTTGTTCATAAGACTCGGAACATTTTAGCCACAGTTACATTGTCCTTACTTGTGGCTCTTAAGTCACGAACTGCTAGAACTCCTAAATCCCTGTGATCAGTCGCTTTAATTAGTAGTATTTCACTGGGTGAATGCTCGCGGAAATCACCACAGTAATTGACTTACACTATTGTACTCTTTCTAGGATTCATTTCCAACGACCACTGATTGGTCCAGTCAACCAAAGGTAGCATTGAATCTTCCTGAAATCTTGTCACCTCATCCACATTGTGTATTGGTCTCAATCCCTCAGTATCATCTACAAACAGCAGATCAGATGATTTTACGACCTAGTAAGTCAATCATGTAGACTGAAAGTAGAAGCTGGTCTAGGATAGTCCTGTGTGGAACTCCACTGTGTACATATTCACATGACGATAAAGCACCATTAGTTCTTCAACATTGTACCCTATAGCTATAAAATTCATGAATCGAATCTCTTAATTTAAAATTGCTTGTGGAACATTTAGGCCAATACCTAGAGGAGAGAATTTGTTAAGGCTTCATCGTGATCTATGAAAATGGCATCTACCGGGTTATCTCTGTCATTCACTGCTGTCTGATCTTCTACAGGACCAATGAGGTCGGTTAACCATAAAAGACTTATTCTAAAATCTGTCTCAAATATTGCTTTATTACTTGTAAAGCAGAACAGTAACGTCAATATCCTTTCTTGCTTATTTAACTACAACACCAATATGGCTGGCTGGTAGATATTTATTTTAGAATAGGGTTTTGTGGAGATTGCAGTGATTTTTAGTAGTCGAATTCATATTTATCCTGAAAAACAAATATACAGAAGTCCAAATATCACAAATCATTAAAAGTGATATAGCTGCCAGACGTTCTTTGGAATGATGTCATAAGACGACTATTTTACTTCCAGTTCCATAGCGTTCATCGATTGACTCGTTTTAGTCTTCTAGGATTTATACGAAATTTGGCGAACAATCCAACGTCCAGCAATCAGCTTGAAGAATATTTTGATTAGGATTCGGTTTTGCTTCACTGACCTTACAATTGAATCCTTGTGGTCTTTTGATATTTTTGATTGCTCCAGAGACACACTGACATCATTCCTTGTGGTTAGACAATAATAACCTTTAGTGCCTCGAGAACAGTTAACATTAGTACCAGGGGATTTATGTGACTTAGATCTTGGAGTAATCGCGTGACCACTTCCTAATGATCACTGGATGAGTCAACTGGGAGTAAAAACACCCAACCTCTAATCATCATAATTTGGGAAAATATTAAATAAATATTTTGAGAGAGCTTAGAGATTGTTAACTCCACCAATTGCGTTTTGAAGTGGATATTCTCGGAGGAAAAATAGTGTATTCAACAGCTTCACTGGGTTTGCGTCTCGTTGTAGGAGAAATAGTCTTCAGAAATTTTCTCGATATCGTGGACCCATCGCTTCTCATATGATAGCATTTTTTTGTTAAAAAGTTACAGAATACGTTTATTTCATCCCTCAGGTGAGGCCGGAAACCATGAAACAGATTTGTCTAACCTTTAATGGTACGTAAACAAAGCAAACACGGATAATTCAACTAATGAAATAACTCTAACTTCTGTTGAATTGCTGGGTTGGATGTAAATGTCATGAAGCAATCAAAAACAGACATAGTCAAACGATAAATCGGAAATACCTGAGACTCGGTGCCACCGAAAATCAGTCACTAGTATGGAATTTGCCAGTAACTGCTGAATCTCGAATGGCACATAAATTTCTGATGAAATTGTAAAGATCAGCGTAACAGATATTTTACAGCTACACATTGATAGTAACACACAAATTACATACTCTGTAGAGCAGAAAAAGTAATTATCAAAGAGTTCATGAGAGCAGAAGAATTTCACATTGTAGCCGTAAATAAATTCTCAAAATCACTTGCCCTGTAAATGTTCGACATTGGATTCTGAACACATCAGTTTTAATAGACTCACCTAACTGAAGGCGCTTGGTCATGTATCTGCACCAGATCACGAGTGGGAACGCTGTGCTCAACTTCTCCCGCGATCGCTAGCCAGATTAGATTAGTCACTTCTCGATATATAGACGATCTATCAAATATATCTTCGAACCTCCTCGCTTCCGACTTTTGATTTCACTGGGTGGGCACGATTCAATAATAGGTGTTGTTGTTTAAGGTGTTATCAAACTACGATACCTATGGCATTTTCAACATGTACACTACTAAAATGCTAAAAAGTGTATGTACACTTTTGCGGCTTCTTTCAAGAGTAATAAATTTTGTATGAGTACAATCATGCCACAGTTTAGATTTCTTGTAAGTGACCCAGACGTAGGTCTATTTGCAGTTAATGTTGAAACATGTAGAAAGACATGAAACAAAAAAGAATTCAATAATACTAAAAGCAATAGATGAACTACCAGAAGTCTTTAATATGATAATGCGGAGGGCCAAGCAAAGTTTACCTACTGCACTGCCAGATGCGTATTTATGCCCATTAGGTAAGAATTATGGTTTTTCAACTAACTGGGATCAGTGGGTTGCTAATCATTGTGAATTTGAAAGTTCTGAAAAAATAGAAGCTTTATATGTAAGGCATTTGGTTTATTAAGAATCATGATGCCCGTGAAGCTATTTCATAGTCCTTTATGCAAACCTTTTTTTAGACATTTGCAAAATGTTTAGTGCATTAAATCATGGGAACCCCGTTACAAACCATCTCGTGTATGACATTCACGTAAACAGACTAAATTTACCCCTCTTATCGTGTGTTATTTTCCTGGTTTGGTTCATTACTGCTTCAATCGTACTTTATTAGGGTTTAAGTGTCCGGTTTCTGACTCCCATATGATAGAATGATGATGTAATTGATCAAACATTTATCCTACTTAGCATTAACGGAAAACATAATTAAACAAATAAAATTCAAAATACAGTTCACACATCCGTTAATGCAGACAGATAATAAGGGGATTTAAACGATGCTGGTGAATCTAAATAAACCATGCTTATACACAGAGAAGTCAGAAACAATAGTTTCAGTCTGTTCATTTACGTAATTAACGGTAATTGAAATTTTCTACCTCGCAAACGATTTAGTAGGTCAATTCGAAAAAAGTTCCCTCAAGTGAGTTAAATCATACTAAATAAATATTAAGATATTCTGAAGATTTTGCTTATATTAAGCATATAAAGAATATGCAAGAGTTCAACATTAGTGAATTACAACATAAAAGTCACAGTGCTTGAAAGTTATGAACATGGTGATTCTCGTAGTTTATATCAGCCAAACTTCTTGAGGCAAACAGTGCAGCATACATATGAACAAGCTTTATAAACTCTGCCTACAAAGTCAGTTTTGGGCACAAAATCCTCAAGTTTCAAAGTTTCTTAAGTATAAGGTACAATATTTGAAATCATTAAGGGACTTGCGTAACGATCTGTGATCCCCGAGGTCCCGAACCCTAAGATGTAAAACTCAATTTTGTAGTCAATGATGCACACCGACTAATATAACAAAAAACACAGTGGTTTGACAAAAAGTGTGGTATTGCATGCATATAAATTAATTACATTGGTGCAAATTATGCAATGTACTCGAACAGTTTTATGAACTGGGATGTATAATGAAGTGATATTTTGTATATAGGATATAAACAAGCTATGAAATAATCAACCAATATGATGCCCATGATAGTCAGAAGCAAAGTTAAATAATCGCTACTGGCCACGGAATATCAAAATAGAATTAATGAAATAGCAAAAACACAATTTTAAGTAGATATCAACCCTAACATTATAGTGGATCAAACATTAGACATAATATACAAAATATATATGGACGAGATGGAAGATTTAACAACCAAGGAGAAACAAAATGTTTATGCAATGTACCAAGTACACAGCAAGGTTTTCTCATACATATGTACGGACACGCACAAAAAGAATTTAAATTTTTTTCCTGAAGTGTTTCTCTTCTCATCAAGTATAATAAATGTCTCTTACGTTGCGGAGGAAACCAACCCATCCCTGAGCCTAATTACGTATTTAAAAAAAAACTCAGATCACTTTCTTAGCCCCGAGAGACAAAATTATTTTAGCTCCACACATTCCATTAAGTTTATTATTATTTTCATTGGTAGAGGTACACTTTTCGTCAACCAATCCGGCTAGGTAGTGTAAGATGATTGAATTGACAACCCTAAATAATGTTACGTCTATATTTTTCGTGATATCCAAAACCTAATTACACAAGATTAAACTTTATTACAAACAGTGGATATAGCTATTTTCCAGTGCTTTTGCCGGAATTCATAGTCCTATTTTACAGATTTATCTTAAAACGTCGAGCAATTATATCTTTATATGAAGAACGTACAGTTACTCTATCAATATGCGGCGTATCCAGGTCAACCTAAGCTGTGGTTGATCATGAGTTGAAGGCAGACACACTTGGAAATATCATATAAGATACTATTATACACAGAAAATCCACTAAATTACTGACTGCTTTGTACTGTGTTAGTATGCTGTTATAGTTATAATATCTAGTTCCCAGTTAAACAGTTGGACTGAGTCCATAATCAAGCGATCAGTGGTACACTAACTCTTAGTTTTGGCGCTTCAATCTATCTGTATATAATCTAATGTGTGTGTTCATTTTAGCTCTGTAACCTATAATGATCAGTCATTTTTAATTCAGCCCTGGGGATAATATAACTGAAACTGCATGATTCGAAAAACTTCGAATTCCAAATGAAGATTTTTTGTTATGTCTATTCAACTCACCATGTCCAGTTTAATATATTGCTTTAAGAAACTTGATTAGAATATTTTTCAGAGCTAACCATTAGTTTAGGTCACACATATCATGTGAGCCACCTGTTAAAACTAATTTATTTTGAAAAAAACCCGAGCTGAGAATACGTCTGTAAAAATCTATACCGAATTATTTATACTACTGATAAGTAGGCTAGACATTTTTACTATAACAGTCTTTTGTCAGCTTATTTTTATCGACATACATCATGTTATATACATAAAATGACAATTTATAGTTAATTACTATTGTTAAATACCTTGTTGGATAAAATATTACTCATAAATAGTAAACAAACATCTTGTATTTATACAGACAACTATTCTTCTTAATGTGTGAACGCTTAGCTCAATTATAAATAAATTATATATTTGCTTAGCTCAATTGTTTATGATAGTTTATTTCAAATATTCCTGTAGAGCGACAACTAAAAAGATCTTAACATTATAATCTGTACAGCTGTTCGTTAGGTGATGTAAAGTACATAATGTATATCAACATTAAAGTAAATAAGTATTTGCTTTCAGTAACGAAGACCTTTTGAGTGCGTACTGCTACGAGTTTTCAGTCAGGGTACAACTAAGCTTGAGGGCACAAAGTGGTGGGCCACCAACATAAACCTTAAGACAAGCTAAAAGAAATAGTAAATTTAATGAACACCCTACAATTTAGTAATTTTCCTAAGAAGTTTATTAAAAACATATTAAAACAAAACTGTCCTTCTGTTAATAACAATCCTACTTGAATATTTGGGCTACCTGTTCCTGACATCCATGAAAAGTTTACGACTTTTCGCTGTACAAGTTACAAAAAAGTACAATCACAGACATCGTAGTTGTTGGTAATATACATCGAAAAGAATGTACATTATTCAGATGTCGATTCATAAACTGCTAACATCTAACTGATCACTCAATATTTATCATTAGGATCGGCCAAGAAATAAGGAAAGGAAAGCTGTTGGAACACTTTTTTCTGAGAATTCTATATTGTATCCAAAATATCATATTGAATAATGCCATTAATAATAATGATGAATGTTCTTGGATTGGTACTGTGGTTTTACCTTACCAACAAGGTACGAAAGAAGTATTACAACGGATATTGAAAACGTACAAAATTAAAGCTTTCTGTAAGACAACTAACACTCTAAGAAACGCTTTAGTTAGAATAAAAGGTAAGATCTTGTTCACTTCTACACAAAATTGTGTCTACAGATTAGGCTGTACCAACTGTGATGCGTTCTACATTGGAAAGTCTTCCCGTGAGATCTAGTTTCGTAACAAGGAACATTTAGGTTACACAAAAATACTTAATAATCCTATAGAATTGGGAAATTCAATCAGTAATAGCAGTACATGCTATTTTCAATAACCACCAACTTGATTTTAAAAATAATTCGGAAAGGCTATTCCAACTACAAAGAGAGGAGAGTAGCCGAAATGTTTCATATAATGCTGAATCCCCCTGTGCTCAATAGGAAAGATGGCCTGAATATTCATCCAACCTGGACTGTTTATCCACACAATCTACACACTCACACATACATTCATGCACAGTTTCAACCCTACTACTTCATATTACAAGTGCATACATTTCTCATACCCACATTCTCGCGCACAAATTAATACAGTGACAGGTCATACAAATTCTTTATGACCAAAGAATAACTTGACATTGGCATATTCAGACCTATTATGATTTTGATTGTACTGAAAATATTCTTCATTGTTTCCTTTGAACAAGTTAAACTTTAATGAACTACAGGGTGGGTTATTTTGATGAATTTGACATGATAATTAACCCTAATGTAACCAGGTTTGTCCATTTTTCTTTGATGAAAATGTCTTACAGAAAAGTGAAATTAGCTCTGTTCTTTGCATTATTTGCATTAAAAGATTAAAAGGATTCTAGTTTGGATTTTAATAATATTTATAAATCTTTAAAGTGAGGTGAACTTTTTTAAAATACAGTTAAATATAAGCATACTTCAAAGAAAAGGGTACATGATTCCATCAATAAACACTTAAATATGTGTTCCATGTCGTCCTGTATACATATTGTTAACAGAAGGATCTTTCTGAATGGAAGCGCATAAAGAACTAATGCAATATCCTGTGAAAAATGAAATCTTTAAAGTGGTGTCATAATACTGGTAAATGTTAATTTTGTCTTTTAATTGTATTGACTTCATGACATATGTTGGTAGGCAAAACACCAAAAATATCACAGAAGACAATATTTCATTTAGAGTAGAATAATCTTTACACAAAAATTGGATAGATCAGCTTCCAATCTCTCTCTCTCCCATACAAATATACTAAACAATTGGCATAGTTTGTGAGATTTTAGCACGTGGTGTACGCGGTGTAAATGGAACTGCACCAAGTTTTCGACCAATACACAGTCGTGGACAAGCTATAGTCCATGCATACAATATTAAAGCTAACCAACTAGATGCCAGTTTCATCCACATATTTGCCCATGATTCTGATAGAGTATCGACACGTGAAATTTGTGGACTAATTGTTTTTGGAAACAAAAAAATTTAAAAACATAACATTGTTAACAAAAATTTAAGTACATTATGATTCGCATTACTTTCTGCAGTTGTAAAATCATCACTGGAAACCCAAATAGCTCAGCGATAACTTTTCATACAATGAGGCTGAATGATATGGGTTCGAATCCCACAGGAACCATCAGTACTCTCAAGACTGATGATGAGTGTTAGCTGGTACGGAACCTAGGACAAGCAATGCTGATTGCCGACTACGCCCAACTACATAAAATCTCAACATAGCCCATACGATATCGAGTCACTTAGACTAGTGATCATATTACAAATTGATTGGTAGAATTCGATTAGGATTAGATAAACATAATATTGGTCACTATTCAATGATAAATCAGTTGGTTGTAAGTGAATGATGCTATCCGGTTGCCTAAAAACAGACAAAGCACGATTCAAACAAATAGATCACAACTGTAATGCTTCAATCAATTAAATCATCGTCCTAATTGACGGCAGTTGAAGATGACAGCTTTAGATAAACAGTACCTTTGAACCCAATTTACAGAATTACGCAGAAGTAATTCCATGTAGTTTTTCAATAAGGATGAGTAGTATTGGCAAAGTATTTACGTAACATTTCGAAGTCATGTAACCATGAGTAATTAATAGGAAATATTTTGTAATTACTGTATTTATTTAATTGTTTTAGACATCGATGAATATTCTTCCGGTATTTCATAAGATCTCTCGAATTCAAGAAATCTACGTTGATTGTTGATGATTAGCCTGATTTCAAATTAAAATCTTTCAAAACTGCTCATAATATTAATTGTATATTATCTGAGAACGGTTATCCAAGCAGCTTCATAGAGAAAAACATGAATGGATGTCGAAACATGTAATCCTGAAACTCTGTCTTAAAGAAATATCACATGAATCTGGAATTTAAAGGTGACCAAACTTCTGATGTATTTAAAAAGCCGTTAACAACATCGATTACAAGGAAGTTCTATGCATCAAAGCTAAGACAACCGTTCGATAGTATAAATTGGATTTCTATCACCGTAAAGGATAAAATTTCTCGTCTGGTCGCCTTATGTGCACCTACGAGTTCACCTGCTCTTGTGGATGGACGTATATAGACTGTAGTCAGAGCCTGCTTATAACTCGGATACGAGGACATGTTTTACAAGGATGAGAGGAAAACAGTTAGAAGTCTCATTCCTGAACATTCAATCGATACCAATCACTCAACTAACCCACAGACTGATTTTATAGTTGTTCATACAACTCATCCAAATCTACTTAGATTTCTTCGCATTCATCTTCTTAAACCATCCGAAGCGATTGCCATTCATGAAATGAAGCCAGAATTGTGTGTACCTTATTTCTTATTGTGGCCTTAAACTGATATTATTGGCACTATTTTATTTCGCATTTGAAAATATACCCATGATTTTAATCATAACTGTTTTCGTTACCACTTCAATTCATTTAAACCTTCTATCACCTTAAATTATTGTAACAAAAACATTTTAATAACCTTATTCCATTCACATAATAATCCGTTGCCAACTTCATACTTTTACAAGGTTTTTAATTTCTATACACGCGATCTTTTGTCATTACTATCTACACTATACAATCTAGAATTTTAATCTTTCTATTACATCATCGTGTTAATTCATTCCTCATATGTCCTCAGCTTGGTAATAAATCCGTTGAAAAGAGACCCCTTCGTTGAATGTCTAACATCTGAATATTAAAACAGGACATGAAATTTGATCAATAAAATCTGAATTATCCTCGGTGAATTAAAATAAGTCGAGTTATGTCACCAGTACAGATTTAAACAATCACACTATCATTTATCAAAAACACAAACGTAAAATAATGAATAAAAAGATAAACTTACTTGTACCAATTAGTCAATTGAGTCATTAGATATAAAGTGGCCAATGCATAAATGAAATGAAACCAAGGATAAGAGTAAACTGATGCAATCGCTTCATTATACATCGTATAACCATCACGTGGTGCAGCAGTATTTAGCATAGTTCCAAGGAAACCTTAAATATAATATAGTAAAAGTCAATCGAGCGAAAAAGAAAATAATAAATGATCTGATCTGATTGTAATGCTAATATCAAAACACTCACTTATATTGGGACTAATCTTTTCAATAATATTGTTCAGAACGATAATCACGTATTCACAATTAAACCATTTAGCTTAAAGAACGTAACACCGTCAAAAGTATCAACCACATTTAGACATTCCCACCAACTCTTCCAGATCCTTAAAACTTTATCTTATGTCACTTATTACAATATTGTTATGTGGGTAAGACTAGTAGCTATAAAATTTATGGTCTATTATCATAAATGAAATATGACATTCTCTACTTCAGTTATTTAAGATATCACTGATCAAACAGATGCTTTTCTAACGAGATGAGTAAGAACTGAGTTGTTAAGAATATAGATACATACTACGAGTAAAAATACTACAGTAGTTTTACTCCAAATAGGATATAAAGAGTGTTCTTCAGTAGATTGATCCTTACATAACAAGGTTGCTTATTTTTGAAAGCTCAATTGTCCTATTTTGTTACTGAAGCTTCTTGTTGAACTAAGTATAGAAAAAAGTGCTGGCCGAATAATTTGGACATCACCAGAGTATATAACAATAAGATTCTATACTTTCAAGATTTAGAACACTAGTTTTACATAGTACATTTTATTACAATGGTAAATGGTCGGAGGAAATTACGAGGAACAACTGAAAAAACAAATACTTCAAATTGAGGACTATAAGTACCAAGCATTTATTAAACTTTAACAGCCGATAGTTCATCACTGCGGGCATCAACACAAGGACGTATATACAACCAACTGAAGAGTCTTAAATGACACAAAACGATCGTCCTCGATTCCACAGTTACTGATAATTAAGTTTCACTACTTCTCAACTGATAAAATCAAAAAGTATTAACGGTTTTGAAACTGGATAATTATTTAAATAATACCAAGTTGATAACGAATTCCGGGTAGAATAAATACAATTCTGCTAACATTTGTTGGCGTTTCTTCAATTTCGAAGCTACTGAATCATACCAGACAATTAAAAAATTCAAGTTTATGTGGACTAATAGCTTATCATGTATTTAAATGAATAACTAAACATGGTGAGTGTTACTGCTAAGAAATGTGCGTATCAGTGCATATCCATTGATAGGTACTTTGTTTGCGTTATTAACTTTTACAGCCAAACGACTAGATGGTTTGCTGAGATGAAATGAATATAAAAGAGGTCCGAGCAACAAATTTTGGTACAGCAAGATGAATACATTGATAAAATAGCATACATTCATTATTGCCAAAGTATGCACCAATTAACCTCAGTATCATTTAAATAGTATCACTACCAAATCTAAGTAATCCTATAAGGATGAAAAAAGGTAAATTGATGGGTCTAGACCTTATAAATTCAAAGAAAAATTGTCGACTGTACACATGAAGACCTCTGGTGAAAAAAAACACATACAGACCATAACCTAAAAGTTCAAAAACTGTATGTTTCATTCTGTTTTTCAGTATACAAAAAGATATTTCACGCCATAACCTTACTGTTGATCATGTTACTAGTTATTTAACTAAATGATTTATGTAAAGATTTGCATAGTTCGAAGACAGTTTCCGTCAACTACTGATATCAATGGGAGTATCGTCGAAAATCAGAGAGTACAGATTTAGTTTATTCAATGTCAAACACAGATTATAATCTACTTGTTACCACTTACATAACTTCAATCTCAATAAAATAGATTCCAAAGCGTATTCAAAAAAGAAACTAAATTTATTACACATAATTGAGTTGATAGTAAAAATAAGACATTGGCCAAGGCAGGAAAAGCAGTTAAAGATATTTCATTTGTACACATAGCTCCGGTTTCTTAATACGGATGGTTACTGCTTCAACTGTTTGAAGAACTCTGAGTTTGACAAGCTTTGGTTCAATGCCCACTCGATATCAATTTTGAATAGGTGTACAGTATCACTCGTTTTAATATAAAAAAATTTAGGTCTAAACGGAATACATAAATCTAAGCTTCGTGATAGGATGGGATGAAGAGGTAAATTTACATTTTTTTCTTAATCATTGTCATTCTTGTTTAATATTACTACTGTTTTTAATTCAGTAAGATGATTACTCAGTTGGATATTCTATTCCATATAACATTAATTTATTTCAGTGTCATGTTTATTCAAGTTACGATATTCTTTGTATTAAATCACCATAAAGCATAGGATTTTGCTACAATTTCATTTCTGTGCATTTTTCTTAATTAATAATCAAATGTATGTAGGAATCAATATAAGCACGAGAGTATTTTTCAATAGAGACGTCGTTGTATTTATATTGAAGTCAATAAGTATTCACTTGTACCAGTCTTTCATGTTCTTACTTCAAGTTGTGAGAATTGTAGTAGTTCCTCGTTTTACAAGTATAAGTAAACAGTCAATCAGCTACAACGTAGGACCAGGCATATATACGCATCGGTCCAAGTTGCCATATCTCGTTAGCATAACAAGATGAACACCGGATTCATAGAAATAGTTAATTTAGTGGTGGTAGTATATAAAAGATAGGTTGTATATAAGGATATAGCATAGGAAGGAAGGACGTTATGAAGCAATTTTAATCTTAAGGTTTAAGGGAAGATAAGGAGTGTATACACCTACGCCATTGTGATCGATTCTGAGCCAGGTCACTCAAAGTCTCCAACCATTGGTTACGATAGTCATGTGGACCCCAACCAAGTAGTCTGCATCTATCAACATGGCTCACACTAGAAGTTAGTGACTTCAAGCACTGATTCCACGTTTTGGTCAATGAGGATAAAACAATTAACAATAAGAATTTCGGAAAACAGAAAGCTAATAACACTTCGTTACTAAATGTTTTTGTAAACAGATTATAATCAATCAATGGGTGGCATTGATCGAAAAGAAATTGAACTAATCAACTAATGATTCTTTCTCCGAAGTATTGCTTTCTTTTTAAAATGAAAGTTCATATATAGTTGTGAAACGACTCGTAGGTAAATGATTGAAGTAATATGATTTAAAAGAATACCATCAATATATAAAAATTCAATGTATAATCAACAATATACGATTACAAGATCATACTGAATGAACGACCTGAATATTTCAATTGAAAAACAAAAAGATTCGGTGAGACTATAGTTTACGGACGAACCAATCGGATATAAGATAACAAGTCTTGGGTTTTGGCGCGAAGTTCATTCATTCATTTGGTTAAATAGCGTTTTGGCATTATAGCATTATAACCCCAGAAATAATTCCTAACCCTAACCATCAACTGTAAATCATAATTCTAATTCTTCACACTGGTTCATAATCGCCATTTAGTCCTAGTTAGTAGGTGAACATTCTCAAGATCACTTTAGAGAGGGGCTGTCAAAGCAAAATTTAAGATGTCTATAAAGTCATTAACTCATAAACTTAGATGTTTTGGTAAGTGCAAACGACTGAATCGTGGTCCATCCGATTATCCTGATCAACGGTTAGAGATGATATGACTCAGAATCTATCACAATGTATTAAATGCATCCATCTTAAAAGGTCTAGATTCCACTAACAACCACTATCCAAAATATAAACAACCTCCAACTCAACAAATGAAAATCATTTGTTTTGATGACATTAGGTCTTAACACTGGACGATGATCATTTAAGATGATAATTTAAACAAAAGCGGGTGAAACAACAATACAACAAAGAGAATAATTATTATTTAAATCTGAAAGATTTTTTACTTCAATTTTAAACAAAAGAACTAGTCTTTTTTCCCCATAAATTAAAGTGATTATAATTACTGAGATTTTGGTTTTCTTATAATCTAGTAAACAAAAAAAACACATTGACAAATGAATTTTGAAAAGAAGGAAAGAGTACGAATAAAATACAGAAGGGTAAAATATAATTAATTGACTAATTCATACCTTATCTATATAATGAGTTTATTTTAATATCTCCAAAGGATTATTGAAATTTGTTGTTGGAAAATGTTACAAAATATAGTATTAAAAGAGATAACAAACCAATAGCATTTAAGGTCCTCCCAAATGGGAAATACGACATGAAGGCTAAAATGGATGCTTTTGGCGCAAAAACAAGTAGTTCAAATTTATAAAACGGAACTACAAAAATAAGGCATTTACCAAGTGAGTGAGTTCTGGGGATCTAACATCCCCCAAAAAATAAACTAGACTTGTGATGAGTAGGATAAGCAATGTACACTACAGATTGTAGTTAGCAAGGATGAAAGATGTTAATTTTAAAAATGAAGACGGGCAATTCATAACATCAATTAAAATATTAGTGAATTAACTGTCCATGACAAGAATCTTGAAAAATTTGAAACGATCTATAAGAATCAAATGTTTAAGTTGATCATCAGTGTGGGAAGGTGATCGAACAATATCGTAGATTGATCAAAGTTAAACTTATACAGCATTAGATTCCAGGTTATTGGTCTAAAGACTAGGGGTTCATGTGCGAAACAGAATGTTTTGGGTTCGACTCCCGGTTGTGGAGTCACAGATACTCACTACTGGGGAGTCCTATGCTCTGGAAAAATGGCTGTCCAGTGCTTCGAACTTTTTAATATTTGTCTAACTTAAGTCGGTTAGTGATTCTAGTGTGGTTTTAGCTAGTGTTTTAAACTAGTTCGATGGTGATTTGAATCACAAAACGGGATAGAATAAAAGATGTCATAATCACACTGTACCATAAGCCTCGACCGAGAATAAACAAATCACCATGGCCAGATAGATAGATCCTTAGTTAACAGTTTACGTTACTTAACTTTAATCAATATGTAGTAATGGACAATCGTAACCAAGCATCACTGAAGAATGATTTACATGATTTTTGATTAACTTATTACTAATAGTTTAAACTTTGGTTGTTAGACAAATAATCTAGGTCAAGGTGATTGTATGATATACAGCCACACTTTTCTCTACATGTATACATTAAAAATGTTGTTTTCGAATAAAATGTGAAAGTCGTTCTTTAAATTTAGCCTTATGAATATATAAAGATAAATGTACAGTAGGTTTCTATCTATTGATTACAGTGTTGTAAATGATATTGATAAATATATAAGAACTTTCGTCTAAATTAGAGCAAATAGTTTCACAGTATTTGGGCACCGAGTTGATGTAAGACATTAAATAGGAATAATACATTTATTATCAGAAGGGGTTTTTTGTGGATATTTAGTATTCATAGTTGAGTTAATCGGATTGGTTGGAGTTAGACATAAACACTATCGGATGCCGGCTCAGTGGCCTATCGGTTAAGTGCTCTGGCGCGAGACTGGTAGGTTCTGTGTTCCAATCTCGCGAGGCGGGGTCGTGGATGCGCACTGCTGAGGAGTCCCACAATAGAGGGAAACGGCTGTCCAGTGCTTTCAGGTTTTCCCTGGCGGTCTAGCTTCAATTGACTCACACTTTCAACTATGAATAATGTACTTGTAAAATCTCAGCGAATGAATTTGAAGTACAGTTGTGATTATGATCAGAATGGAGTTTGTGAAGCTTGTAATAATTTTGATAGTTGAATTTGTAATTGACCATAACCCATAATCAATCTCCATAAACTTCAACAAATTAATGAACTGAATGTACAATGAACGATGTATGACTATGATAGACATACAAACAAATATGGAGATAAATCGATAGCGATAATTCATCAGTCTAGTGTTAATTAAGCAGTATATGGAAATCAGTAAAATGAAAATGTGAACTTTTTCATTAATAGAAGCACTAAAGAGATTTATAGGGTTATGAATACATGATCTAAATGAATTATTTTGTTGGTTAATCATATAGAGATTTGTATATTGTCAAAAAAAGACATTACAGTATATATACAGTATATTTGCTCTATGAATTTATTCGTCAGCATGTTCTACCAACAAGTGTAGTATACTTGAATAGCACAAAAGAGGTTTCATTTTCTTACACTTATTTTCATTTCTCAACATTTCAGTTATCCAGTCATACGTGCATCTGTTCAGGTTACCACATAACTTCCAGTACAGCGAGATAATAGAGTGGTAGGAGTAACGGTATTAGTGGTTGTAGAAATCATTAGGCGTATACAATATTGTCATAACGCGACGGATATTGGAAAAATTGGAACTTTCGGAACCATTTTTCGGATTACTAATATCTATATAAATTTTTGTGTGTGATTAGTAGACAACATTATTGTTTCACTTCTCTATGCTTCTTACTGTAAGATATCAGTAAACCTAATAACTTTTGTTGAGAGTTTTAATATACCTGAGCTATTACTAATTAATTACGAACTGTTTGCTCCGCCCTCTACCACTTATGGTATGATTTTGCTTAACGTGTAATCTCTCATTTGGTGTATCGTGTAGTCAGTCATTTTAGAGACATTAATGTATGCGTTTTGGGCAATAACTAAATCGAGCACAACAGATAACTAATGTGCTTCCTATTTGTGTCTTCTAAATGGCTACTGGGTTAGAAAGGGTATGAGGACTAATAAGTGTTAACGCCTTGATTTTAGTTCACTGAACAGTTGGTTAGTTTTTGAAATAGGTCACTGGTCCTATTGGCTACATATGTGAATTAATAGACAATCGGATTCCTAACTAGGGAATAGAGCATATGATATTCACCAGTGATCTCAAATCACAACAAATATGTTTCGAGAGTAAAGAATAAATTCATGGAACAGAATGTATAATCTAATTTAAAAAATCAAGATTTGAAGGGGAAAAAAAGATAAAATGTATCCATGGTTTGTCAGTCAACCTCTCTTACCATTGGTTACGATAATCATGGGGAGTTCAATAAGGTAGTGTGGGCCTATCTATACGGCTCAGTTCAACAGTTAATGACTTGATGCCATGTTTTGGTTTGGCCGTCCCTAATGTTTTTTCCAATATTTGGTGCTTTTCAAATGTGACATGATACATTTGATTATTGATTATTTAATAATGTGTGAAAAAACCAACTAAGAAATGGACATGTTTGATGTAACTCAAGTATGAATGTGATAATATTTATTATACTTCGGAAACCATAAATAGGTACAATATGTCACTCACTGGAATTAGATACCTTGTACCAGTCTTAAAATTCATCATGTTAAATTTTTGCAATGAATTAGAAGTGTACATAGTGAATGAGAAGATATAAAAGTTTGTTAGCGAATACATGACCCTCAATCAAAATCTCGAGTTAAGAGAGAATATCGTTAGTGAGATGTTTGCATTGAATTCTCAAGTAATATTTGTATTATATTCTAAATAATACAAACTTCTGAGAATAAAAAATAAGATGGTAGAGAAGATTTGTAGCTCAGGTGGGTGATTTTGATGTAGGTTTGTTCTCTGAGCTGGATGGTTTAGTCGTGGAGCTTTCATCGTCCTTCTGAATGACATCATCAGCACAAACTTCGGGTAGAAGTGAATTGTTTGAATTTCTCCACATGTGATTCACAGCTTGTCCTGTGCACCTCGATGTTGATTGGTTCTTATTGACCTTAAATCTGTCATTGTCAATAAGAACCAATCAACATCGAGGTGCACAGGACAAGCTGTGAATCACATGTGGAGAAATTCAAACAATTCACTTCTACCCGAAGTTTGTGCTGATGATGTCATTCAGAAGGACGATGAAAGCTCCACGACTAAACCATCCAGCTCAGAGAACAAAGCTACGTCAAAATAAAAAATAAGTCAAATGGTGAATTTATTCATTGTACGTACAACTTAATTATTATAATGGTGAAATAATTTTAGCTTGAGTTATCTCGAGAGTTTTCAGGAGAAACAATTTATCCTTAACGGTTAACAGGAAACATCACTTTCTTTTGGAAAGACTTGCATGGTTTTAATGATACAGATATAAAATAGGAAACTACTGAAGGCAACCGTCTTATCACAGTTTCCGGACTTTTAACACAGTAATTCATCATCAATATGGTATGAAGATAGTTTAGTGAATGAGAACTCAGGTGGAAATAACGGATTTATTGTTTAATCCTAAAATGATAGAGTGCTTTCGTAAAATATAATAATCATACATCAAATACATTATTTGCACATTTTCCTTCATATGTCCTTTACATGCTTCATAATTCTATCAACTCTGTTGCTATCACGATTGCTTTCGATTTCCCTTTCTGTTCTCTTTAATTGGATCTTCTCAAACTTCTTCTGACAGGAATTTAACTTCCGATTACTGTTACATACTCATTATATCTGTCAACATAAGTACTATACAACACAAGAGTTCTATAATGCTAAGTGGTCAAAGTTTGAAATGAGGAACCTATTACGCGTTTTTTCCTGGATGAAATTCAGAATGTATATTGATGTGAACCCCTTCACACAAATGATACTGGAATACAGTTTATTTATTTATTTAAACACATATATATTGGTACAAAAGGGCACCAGGTACATATGCGCCACACAAAATAATGAAAGTAGGAAGAGAAGGGATGAAAAGATAAGGATTCATCATTTCATTTATTTGTGTGTGGGCTGTGATACTGCCCGGGTGCCCAAACCGAAGCAGGTGGTTTTTTTAGGGGGCCACACCCCGAGCCTTTGACATGAAGGTCTGATCCACAAGGCAGTGGAGCATCGTGAGGAGATGCAGTCCCATGGTTGCCGTTGACCAACAGCAGGTTCTTCCGCCATTCGTTCCATCAGGATACTGGAGCCCATGTGCACCATTGGTTTGGAATCAGGGTTTTCCAACTCCCCTAGGTGGACCCTCCGTGTCCACCAACCCGGTTATAGCGCCGGACATTCGCTTTTCGTCCTCTCACTTTCGTAAACAACACCCCCGCCACGAGAAGGCAGTGAGTAGGACTTCCCTGGAATACAGTATAAGTCTATTGTTAATTGATTTCAAATGCAGTTTAATTCGACTTTATTTTTCGTGATGAAACTTATCTTTAAACACTTTAGGAAAAGAAAACAAAACAAAAGAAGACATCCGAAAAACCCTAAATATACCGAAACTCATGCATCAAATTGAAAATCACGACTTACTTAATGAATTGACTAGTCCAGGTTCTATATTAAATAATCCACTAGTACGTTTATTCAATGCTATTTCACTAGCCCATCTAGCTTGACGATATCTTAAATGATTAGGTGATGTCAACGCAGAAGATTCAATGTCATCATGAGATGGATGTTGTTGTTTCTGCTGTTGACTAAATGATAAATCCAATGGTTGTGGATGGAATTTACTAGCTAATGGTGATCGTCTAGCAACATTAGCTAACATTGGTATGGGATTATTTGTTGTTGGACTAACAGATAAGTAAACGTTCGGACCTGAGTAAAAAATATTAAACAGATAGATAGTTAAGAAGGTAAAATGTGATAGTCAAGTATCTTAATTACTCTTTCGGAAAAAATCCTAAAAATTTCACATTTCAATAAAAAATGAAGTGGTGAACAAGAACACGAGTGAGGACAATCGAATGTATATTACATGGAAATTACAGACTAAAATCTGACAACCATACAGTAAACAGTTAATTTGCAAACTATCAATCAATTGTCTCAATCTTGACCGTTCCTTCTGCAAATATCAGTCTATTGTCTCTGATTATTAATGTTCATGCATTTTTATACCAAATGAGTTTCGTTGCCGTTCTTTCTTTTTACTGAAATATATTCAATGCCTGACCATCGTTACATCCTACTTATGGGGATATAAGTAACCCACACCGCAATCAGAGTAATGCTACTGAATAATAAAAGCAAACGATATACTTGTGACAAAAATGCAAATCGGAAACTACGTACACGTATGAAGCTGCCAGTCAAACATTTACTATGTAGATGGGACAAGAGCTTAATGTCTAAAGTAACTGCATTTCAGCGAGTAGACTGTTAGTTCAAAGCAAGCTATACAAACATCCGTTAGGGTTTCGAGTAGTTTCACTAGCCCTCACACAGACATAGTGTCTAGATATCGAGTACATAAATCCATATATGGTGAGGTATTCATATGTAAGGTCAAATTGAGTCGTGATTTGTTAGAGATTATAGACAGACTTATCTTAATGGATTACATATATAATAAACTATTTTATATTATAGATAGCCTCGTCTTTAAAAAAATGGAATATAATATGAACATTTTTACGGATCTTGGAATAGTTTTGACAATAAAGAATCCCAATGATTAAGTCCTTTGGATATCTGGGGTAGTTGGCGATAAGTGAAAATGAGTAGATGAAATAATTCAAAGCTTTATACGTTCCATTGATTAGGTATTATACTCTTTCAATCAAAAATTATATATATATATATATATATATATATATATATATATATATATATATATATAACACCAGGATTCGATTGGATGGTATCTCACCGGGTAGCTATGAGGCTTGAAGGTCTTAGGTTCGATTTGTGGTTAGATCATGGATATCTTCTTCAGAGGAGTCCCACAACAGGACCAACTAGCAGTCCAGTGCTTTATTGTCTTTAATCGTTATCTAAGGCAAACTCGTGATGTCAAACTACAGAATTTAAATATCATGACAACCCTTACACCAAATAAAAGCCTAGTCGATGTAAGTCAGGGTAAACTAGTTAACGACGTACAACTAATAGACGACATTTATAATCATGTATAACATATAGTCTGTGTTATGACCAGTATTTCTGGTGAATCGTAAATTGGTAAAACTGTCATTAAAACAGAAACAATATCGGAGACACGATATGAAAGGATCTTACGGATTAAAAAATACGTATAGAGAGTAGCTCACACATTTTGATTTCGTTCACTCTTATTTGAACAAAAATCCATAGCACTGAATATAAGTATGCTTTGAAAAAATAAACATCTGTTAAGTTTCTGTATTCTATTAGATAATTGAGTGTTGATGCGAAATGTGGCTATCCCGAATTGGAAAATTCATCTTACAGATAAAGACCAAAGAAATATCAAGAAATGCTAACAGAGAATGATTATCTTTATTCAATATGTTTGATTCTTACTAACAATGGGGTTTATTATGTGTATTTTGTGCTATTTGGAACTCATAATAAGTAATATTGAAACAGAGATATAAGCAAATAACAAAATGGATTAAAACCACTCGACTAAGCAGAAACAATGTTTTCACTATTAACTAGCTTTAAGATGGATTTCTAAAGATCTAGTGGGGAACTAATTGAAGTTCAATCAAGTAGGGAGTGAATTAGCTATATCTCCTACTGGACAATTGTTGCATTTAAGCAAAAAGTGGTTACGGTTGAAAATATGAACCATGGGATTTTAACAAAATGGTTAAATAGTTTTGTGATCTTCATGGAACTCGAACATCTTGGTCATAAGTTACAAACTAGAATAAAATGGATATTGAATGGAACCTTTTTTCCCATAGTTTTCAATCGCTGAGAGTGGTTTTGAATCTTTATCAACGGAGACAGCCAGAACATGTGTTGCGTATACGTAACCACCGATTATCCCGACGCACCATACTAGTTGGTGTACCAAGAGACGGAGGTAAAGCTAGGAAAGGACAAGTTAAAACGCAGAATCATCCTGTAAAACCATTGACTTTCGGTTTAAGCCATGTTGATTGGTACACAGTACCTCGTTGAGGTTCATAGGACTTTCATGATTAATGATTTGAGGTGAGTAATATGGCACTGAATTAATGACAATGGCACAGCTGCATTCAATTTTCCGTCTCACCCTAGTTGTTGAGTTCTAGTATTCTTTTATAGATACTTTTTCATTCCTTCTTCTAAAACCATATTAGCATATCTGCTCCAGATCCTAAGTTGATTATGGTTAACCATTTGAATCTAGTCATTCTTTCCTGTTATTCTGAAGATTAAGCGAACCTTGTTACTGAAAAAGTAGCAAAATAATCATACATACAAGTGCAATCCATCAACAGTTTCAACCAGTTGACAAAACGTATAGACTAAGGTGACTGTTATCATCCTATTAACAATGATTTAGAAGAGACAAATCAAATTACACAATTACTTATTACTAATAGTTTTAAATTAACCACATATTTACGATTCGTTTTATACTGGTATGAATCTCCTAAATGAGTGAAATACTCACGATGAGATGACGATATCAAACTGAGAAATTTGAATTCCTGTGAAGACCATAGTACGATTCAGCTATTCAATAAATTTATTACATCGCAATATTCTTACACAACGTTACTGGTGAAATATTTTGTCAACTGTGTGCTTCATTGACCCTACATACATCAGCGCTTACCACTAGGATTCTTGAGTATTCCTTTTGCAAGCTAATATATTTCGGAAGTATGAGAAAATGAACTGTAGTGTGCTTAGTGATATATTTGTTTCAGCTGAGAAACTTAATTTTAATGCCCTGAAAGAGTTTAGGTTAAATTTAAATAATTCATGAATGCTATTAGCAATGACAGTCTTTTTAATACAGAAATGAAATCCGAGTAAAAAGATTAAGCAAAAGTCTATAGATATTTGTTACGAATTATATACACATCGATAATCAGAAAAACTAAACCGATTACTTACCCACTTTTTCAGGGAGACTATCAGCGCTAAATAAATATAAATCATTGACGATTCGTTTTTCATGTGAATTTAAACGACATGTTCCACGCCAAGTTTTTTTGATTTTTTTTCGAAATTGAAGTTTAGAAGGTTTTGTTTCTTTCAACATTGAATTGTCATTATCTTCACTATCATCAAAAGTTAACAAACTATTATTACCGTGTATATCATTAATTTTATTGTCATTTGAAAGATTTGTTGATTTCAATTGACTTTTAGATCGTTTCAGTTTTTTATGCCGTAAATAACCAATTCGATGATTTAATGAAGTTAATGAATGTTCACGAGATCGTTTATCAGTTTTATGCTTTGATGACTTATTATTTTTATTATCATCATTATTAATTATTGACCAATCTAAATCACGTATATCGCCACGTTGACGTGAATAATTTCTCATAGTAATTGTTAAATCTGGTTCAGAGGATGCTAAGCGTAAAGTAGATTTACCATTAGTTGTAGTAGGTGTAGCACTGGTAGTAACATTGTGATTGTTGTCAGCAACATCATTATTATGAGATGCGAATAATTTATCCTTTTTATTTTTTACACGACCTGAAGTTAAATTAGATATAAAAAATTGAAAATAAATTCGTTTTTTGTATAAAAATCAGTAGTATACAGATCTAGTTTAGATTGCTATCAATCAATGGATAGCTTGAACGTCACCACCCCACACGTAAGGTTTCCTTTTCTTATTTCTGAATCGATCCTGATGATAAATATTGAGTGATCATCAGTTTGATGTTAGTAGTTCAGAAATCGATATCTGAATAACGAACATTTTTTTCGATGTATATTGCCAACAAATACGATGTCTGTGATTGTACCTTTTTGTAACTTGTACAAAAAAAGGTCGTAAGCTTTTATAAACGCGCCTGAATAGGTGATGCGATTACTGGATATAATAATGTTTTAAAACAAAGTAAAAAAGGATAATTTGTTGAAATATTTAGATAGAAGGAGCAGGTAGCCCAGGTATTCAAGCAGGTTGCTCAATGTATGACAGAAATACCTTTAGATAATGTTCAGATAATTTTAAATTGTTAGGCAGAAAATTAATGTTAAACGTACTCTCTTATGCATAGATTTTACATAACACGTAAACCAATAAGTTTGATTTTACTTAACTTTGTTCATAGCAAACTCTTAAGTGAATCATCTTTTTTTTATACAGACTCTCTACTGCTCGTCAGGATTGATTCAGTCATGGAATCACTGTATGAATGTTGTCAGAAAATTCAGACCACCTAGTCGAAAGTTAGTAAATCTAAGTTATAACATAGTTTAACATTTATAACTATGAAAGAGATAAATTCATGATGAATTAAATTTATCTTTAATCTTGAAGACAGTGTAATTCCACACTTCTCATCTCCACAAGTTTGTCCTATTTTTTTATTATTTACAACTTTAATCCGCATGTTCACTTCTCCATTGTGACCGTTTATATTATTCTTATTCTTACTGTTCTTTTCACCCCTTTTGCTAACATTCTCTTTTTACTAAACTAATATGAAATGTACCACTATTAAAATAGAAAATATATTTACGCAGAGGACTAGCTAATCAACTGTTCATTATTAGTATAGGGTTGTGGAGATTGCTGAGTTTTTACTAAGATCACGAATCGATCAATATTAGATCATCAATGAAAACCTGGGAGAATTGAACGGCCGTTTCGTCCTAGTATGGGACTCCTCAACAGTGCGCATCTACGATTTCGCACATGGGATTCGAACCCAGGATCTTCGGTCTCCTCTAGACCATTGGACTGGTCACAGATTCTCATTAGTCCAGTGCTTCAAGGTTTTCAATGGTGTTTTAACGTTGATCGATTATTGATTAATCTATTATTAAAAATCTTTTGATTACTTGAAACAATTGCAATTTAAAAAGAAACCATTAATAACATTGAAAAACAAACCGAATGGGAGATAAGAAGTGATAAACCTGAACAAAACGATTATAAGCATAGAGGAAGTAAGAGAATTCGTTTATTTCGTTTGATGAAATCCTACCTTAAATATTTATATTGGCATGAAAAAATTGACAGCAAGATAGCAAACAATCTAAATATTTTAATTGTTTCTACTGACATCTCATAAGCCACTGAGCTACTCTGATGGATTTCAGTTGATCGATTTAGGACAGTGTAGTGTCGGTTGGTATGTTAAGCTCATATACCTTATTCTAGCTTCTGGACAAGCCAATTTACCTAACCATCTTGAGACAGGTTTTGACCTTGTTAATTATTCACTTATCAACCCTGACGCGGACTAAGTCATTTATTACATAGATAGACAAGATGTATATTTTGACAACGATCATTCATACGATCTAATTCGAGTCAGATTTAGGCTTTACAATAGTATACGCTTGTTTACTCGAACATATTTACATAAACAATGGAGATCAGTTTAATTTTGTGGAAATATTTGAAGTCGTATTCATTTTTTAACAGCCGCATTACCAACACAAGAAAAAACTAACCAGATGCAGATAACATTTTCACAAGTGACTATTTTATTACATTATTAATTATATTTTTGAGCGTCATCAACCAATTTCTCCATGAAAAAGGCGACAAAAACAAATTAGTGAGCTAGATGCTGTGCCAAACAAAACTAATTTTGAATGGGTTCGAACCCATAACTAGTAAATTAAAGCTGAGTATCCAGTTGACCGATGAGTCTCGAAGTTCAGTTTGAAGAGGTTGACAGTTAAAACATGAACATAAGTTCATTAATAATTTATTATCGTTAGTATATATTAGTTAACAGACAATAATTATTGAATAACACTACAGTAAATCATATACTAATCTAATTAAAACACTAAGACTTACAATTGCCTACATTATTCCCTATGTTCTGAGATATTACATTTGATGTATTAAGAGCTTGTAAATTTAATCGAGGTTGACGTGCTGAAGGTCTGCGAAAAACCTTTGGATTAGGTAAATCAGCCACAGCGTCAGCAAGTAGATTTAATGCTGTCAAAAATAAAGACAGACATAAAATCATAAAAACAAATAAAAATCTTCTATTACATAATAGCTAATAATGCTATTAAGAGAAATTTATTCTATGATTAAAATAATTTAGGCAATACAACTAACAAAATAAAATACATGTATTATCAATAACTCTGCCTGTACCTCCTCCGGGGGCTACTGCCGGTCCCAAGCCCGGGCAAAGGAGGAGGGTTGGGCATGGAGTTAGCGACCCCATACCGTCGACAACCTACTCGCTAAAAAAACGCTAACCAAAAAAACTATCAATTCTCATTTAACTCAAATCAGTAACAACTAGCTCTTTAGTTTGATCTATTGAAACACTGAATAGTAGTGGCTACAATCAGTTTTAAACGAACAACTATGTTTTGATCATTTTTCAGATAAATAATCAAGAAAAAAATTGATTTCATTCATTTTCCTTATTGTAAACAAACACCACACACCACCGCATTGATTCGTTTATATTCATACATGTTTAATGATTCCACCTCGGTTGGATCATATGTCTTTTATCTGGGATAAGTTCGATTCAAAACAACCGAATTGTTCAAGATGAAATATACACACAAACATAATAACAAAAGAAAAATAGATGGAAAGACAACATCTAATCCACTAAACAGATAGATGAATATAAAAAAACAGTAGACAAAAATAAGATAAAGACGAAAGGTAACTGAACTGACGTATCATATAAAAGAACAAATTCATTTATTGAAATAAAACAAACACTAAAACTATATGTGAATCAAGTATATCTGATCGGAAAAGATCATAGTTGACAGACAGACAGAAAAGTAACCATTCTGAGAAATAAGATGAAAATACTTTTATTCGGTAAACTTAATTAAAATGTACATAGGTGTGATAGAGATACAATTCGAAAAAATTCCAATTCAGTATACTTATTCATTATCTCCTTTCTCTTAGATTGAATTTCATGTATACTTACTACTGAAATGGAATGATCAGGCAAATAAAAAGTGATAACACAATTCTAGACTAATGTTAAGGAAGAACAACAAACATCGTGAAATGAAGTGTATTCATTTCATAAATCTATGTTCTTTAAATCTTTCACACATGCCCTGATTTGTGTAAATAAACAAAATGTTTTCAAGTGTAATTTTGTGTGTAACATGCATAAAACCATTAAGTTTACTGATGGAAAGCAAACATAAACTCGATAAAGTCTCAAAGTGACTTCAATTCAGCGAAATAAAACAAATAAAAATGTTTATACATATTATGAGAGTCTTTTTGACACAGGAAAACAAACTATAGATTACTACATTTCATCTGAGACTATAAAATCAGTTTAACACAACTAGTCACGATGGCTCATATTCGTAGACTTAAATCGAAATCTACAGCCTGAATGGTACTGAAACGATTGTTAATCAAAACACAAGTTTCGGAAGGAGTATAAAAGCACATACTTTGAAGCTAAATTATTGATCAAAAACATCCGCCAGTTTAGACCAACAAATATAGTTGGTTGGTTAATATAAACCATTAAGTATAGACATAAGTAGCAAATATATCTTTACTTTTTAGCTCAGATTATTAATGAATCGATGAGAAAGACTTATTCTTAACAAAGCCATACATATTTGTGTATTGACTACACTAAATATGTAGTGGCTAACATAAACCAAAGTAAAAATGAATCCATTTCATTATAGAATACAATAACTGAAGGCTTTCTGGTTAGATAACTGAGTTAAAAATTCACATAAAATATATTTTGTTATTGCAGATGCATAACAAAAACAATTTTATTTTTGGATGTACAACAGCTTAACTAATGATTAAAATGGCGTGACACATAAAATGGTAATGTTTATAATTTTAAGATGTACTGACTGTAAGTAAACATTTACCAAAACAGCCAAGGACTATTAAGTGGAGATTTAGGATTGGTTAAACGTCGCTTGGATTGAGATTGATGATACAAGCTTGAGACATTTCAGCTGGGTTTACATGAATCCCAGTGTTAATGGTCATGGTGTCTATCGCTCCAAAAAACCATATCCGTCGAACAAGTTATTGGGTATCGTAACTCACTAGATGACCCTTCGGCATTTAAGGCGAAGACCGCTTGGTTCCAATGTGGGTATCAACAATAGAATGTCGATAAATTCACCTGGTGAACCTTAAACAAAGAGGAATGTCGGTCCTGATTTCTCACGCTATCAACAATTCATCTATCCTAAATAACATGTGACAAAATAGCTATATCGGGGTAATCCGCACAGAATGCATATATGCCAATAAAGACTGATCAAAATTTAGTCCTGATTATTAACAACAGAATAGCTCAAAGGCTTACTAATAATGATGAAAGCATCAAATGATTAGTTCTTTTAGACGTAATATCCACTGAGAATGCGCCATGACCAAACTTAATGTAAATTTTAAGAAAGGCCACTGTGAAATATCAGATGATCGAATACAATTATAAAGAAATTATGCTTTCACAGTCAATCATTACTACTGATTGCCAAACACGTTCAGATCAATCTAGACAAAATTAAGAAGTTTGTGTAAGCTTCAACAATCAACTAACTAATCGCTCTACAGTGGAAGTTTACTGTTGATAAAATGAATTTAAATTTATGGTATGTTAAAGTTTTACCATGTGTAAATGAGATATACGCAAGCAATAGAAATACATCACTTATTGTAAAATATATTTTTACGAGTAATTCACAAAAATAACTTATTACAATCAATCTACTTACCATGCTCTTGTCGCTTCACATCCTTATAATTCATGAAACGTATTGGAGATTTATTCAAGTTATCGGTTACAACTGAATTGGAAGACTGAGTAGGTTTGTTATTACAGGAAGCTTGTAGAGGAGATTCATTAAATTGGCTGTTTTCATGAATAGGTGGCAGGAGAGCTTTCTGTGATAAGAGGGAAATGTTCAAAGATAAAGTAAGTAATCCAAATTTATTATGATGAATCTTGATGAAATATTTATCTAGATCTAGGTGGAGTTTCGTTCTCTGGGGTAGGTGGTTTGGTTGTAGAGCTTTCACTAAAAAACAATGAAGGCTCCATGACTAAACCATCCATATCAGAGAACAAAACTCCACCTGAATTATCCCACTGAGTTAAACATGTTCTCCATCATCTCATGTATTTAGATCAACTATAATAATCTGTGAGCAATAAACAGTAAAAACAGAAAGTTCTGTAACAAAAAACCAGGATACACAAAATATTTTTTGACAATCCTCAATTTCCAGGTTTAAAGGTTGGAGAATCTTCCGGAATTGTTACCACCAACTGTATATACAAATTCCCATGTATCTACCGAAGCAGTCACATTGGTAGGACAGAAAGGAGTACCTGCTCCTGATTCAAGGAACATATTCCAAAAAGTCTAGGGTCAAATGGATTAAAAGCATCCAGCAGTGCCATCTCAAGACATCTTGATACAGTATACCAAGTGTATACTCTGAATTCTTTCAAGGTGATTGATAAACAATCAAACCCCAATCTTCTGAGATTTGCCGAAGTGATAGAGTTCAAACGTCTAAAACTAGATTTGTGTGTTCAGAAAAAAAGACAGTAATAAAATTTTCTTTGCTCTAGTAACATTACATTGTTTCTATTGTATCACTCATCATTTCAACTCTTTCTCAAGTTTTGATTACATAATTGTCATTTTCTTGAATTCATATCTTTCTTTATCACTATTATTCTGTTTCCGGTTACTTTATTGGACAATCATCTAATGTTTGTTAATTTTATGAGTTTCAATCACTATTCCAATGTTCTGGAACTATCCCTCTCAAACTTTCTTTATTTATCCGAAATGAAACTTTTTAAAGACCTTGTTAAATCTATTGAAATTTTCGCTACATCATGAAACACATACATCTCTAACCATCCTCGTATGTATAAGTCAGTATCCGTAACAACGTTCATTTTAAATATTATAGGTTGTAAGCAGCTGTTGAGAACCTAACGAAATATAATGAATTCATATTGTGGTGTGGTAGTATATGATGATGGTCAGGAAGAGAATGTATTTCACTAGTAGATCGATAAGGGAAGGACGGAAACGAAACTCAATTGGTATGAGAATGCATGAACAATAATAATCGGAGACTATGGACTGATATTTGCAGAAGGGACAGTCAATATTAAGACAATTGATTGATAGTTTGTAAATTAACTGTTTAATGTATGGCTGTCAGATTTTAGTGAGATAGTCTGTAATTTCCATGTAATATACATTCGATTGTCCTCACTCGTGTTCTTGTTCACTACAATAATATTCGTCACCAAAGTTTGCTTTTACTCTTTAAAATTGTGAATATCTTTGATAACAAGTAGTAAGAAACTCAACAGGGGCAGGACTCTACAATATAAATGACATGAAAGTGTATAGATTCTAAGAAACTCTGTGGTAATTATGGAGAACGTAATATAATTAAATGCATTTCTTGACAAAGCAAAGCGTATAATCACTAGAATGTAGAATTCAGCCTAGATTTAATTGATTATATTCCGGATATCATGCATTCAAATAGAATAGATGTATTCAGAAGTGAGATATCTAAACATTTGACTTAATTTGTCATATAGACAATAGTTAACAGACAGACAACATCAGCTCGAAATACCTTTATGGTGTCTAACAAGCACCAAAGTCAGGTGCTTCTCAATTTGCTAACACTATAGCTACTGGACGTCTGAATGTTGGTCTATGTGTTAATAAGAAACCGATTACTAGGTTCCACCATTCGTTATTGACGAGAAGATTAAACGTCTTACATTTTATTATGATGAGTAGATGTAAAATCCCCAGAACTTACTTGGTAAATGACCTAATTTTGTAATTTTATTTTTGGAAATTTAAATTTCCTTGTTTTCGCGCCAAAAACGCTCTTTTCACCTTCAAGTCGTATTTCTCACTTGTAAAATATCTTAAATGCTATTGGTCCGTTGTATCTTTGAGTGCGCTATTTTGTAATGCTGCGCAAGGACAAATTATCGCTGTATATATACGTTTGAGTTTTTTCCCTTATGACCTGCCTGTACTTGGCTGCTTACGGAATATATATTCTCCATACTTCGCCTTGGACTTCTTCCTCTAATTAGCGGGCCTGGAAAAAAACGGATTAGATTAGCCTCTCGTGACATTGGCCTTCGTTCGTTGCCGAGAAAATCGACTTAGCTCAAGCATATCATTTGGCGACGGTGGTTTGGAAACATAGATCCTTCTAAACTCGAATCATTACTGGAACAGCAGCTGAAACTCATACAAATGCTGACAGATATGAATGTTTCGCCCCCACCCACACACACAGCCTAGCACATCTAACGCAACCACAGCACCATCAGTAGACGGCATTGCAAATAGCATTGTTGAGTTTCATTATGATCCTGATGCCAACGTTACTTTTGACATGTGGTTCAGGCGTTATGAAGACCTATTTAAATTTGATTTTGCTAATCAAGATGATGCTTGGAAGGTGCGACTGCTACTTCGAAAGTTGGGTGCAAGTGAACTGAACAAGTACTGCAACTTGATCCTGCCTTTGAATCCACGTGATCGCTCTTTCGCAGACACAGTCCAGACATTAAGCCAACATTTTGGGGAAAATTCATCATTGTTTAACACCCGTTATCGATGTTTGAAGCTAGTTATGAACGAAGACGATGACTTTCTTACGCATGTGGGCATCGTTAACCGTGAGTGCGAACGCTTCCGGTTGAAGTCTTTGTCTGAAGACCAGTTCAAAGCCCTCATCCTCATTTGCAGCCTCCAGTTCCAGAAGTTCAGTGACAATAGAACGCGACTACTATGTCGATTGGATCAAGATCCAAAACTCACACTTAGCGACATGGCTAATGAATACCAACGCCTAGTAAATCTGCAACGAGACACGACGATGGTTCAGAATGGTGGGAGTAGTCGATCGAAAGTACGAGTAGTCCAAAAGACAACTAACCAGAACAGGTGCGCTCCCGCTACATCCAGTCCAACCCACTTCATTAACCTTAATATTAATGGACATTATTTTAGATTGCAAATAGATACAGCATCAGACGTTGTTGTTGAAGGCGTTTTAATTCTTCATCTACTGTTGGTAACATCGCATAAGACACAGGTCTTTTGGGACGAAAGACAGGCTTAGCTTCAGGTTTCAAACGAAGCGTTTCTTTTATGGCAGAACACTGTCCCAATCCGCATTAATATTAAGGTTAATGAATTTCCTCTCACTTGGTGATGAGCTCTGACAAGAAGATACTAAGCTCAAAGAAGAGGTACAGGGCTTCGGAACAGTCTTTTTGGTACTACTGGATCGACTTGGAGTGCTCTTAAGACAAAACTCGTCCTTGTGACCAACGACCTTGCACTTCATGCATCGATGTTGCTTAAATGGGCAATTTCGTACGTAGTGCCATGCACCACAGTGCAAGCAAGGAGTGTCCTTGCGCAGCATTACAAAATAGCGCACTCAAAGATACAACGGACCAATAGCATTTAAGATATTTTACAAGTGAGAAATACGACTTGAAGGTGAAAAGAGCGCCTTTGGCGCGAAAACAAGGAAATTTAAATTTCCAAAAATAAAATTACAAAATTAGGCCATTTACCAAGTAAGTTCTGGGGATTTTACATCGCCAACAGGATTCAAGCTTTTTCATACTAAAATTTCATTTTAATCAAGCTAACATAATTGTAAATCATCATAAACTTTGTTTCACCCTTTTTTTCGTTACATTGAACGTTTGTTTTTCCACCCATGCTCTGTTATCGACATTTGAATAAGATATTTAGCTGAGACAATGCACTCAATATTCTCAGGTTTATTTAGATCGTTATAATTCTTATTACGTTGACTTTCGATCTATGTCACTGGTATTATTGTATGCCAAATCTGACCTGTGTGATAACTGAAGTATTATGGAGCCTAAAAAGATGGTGCGAATCCAACAAAATGGAATAGGTTCATCTGATTTATAATTAATCGCCATTAAGACAAAAAGCAAGTAGTTCAACAAAGAACTTCTCTTCCTAAAATCTTGACTTTTAAATCCACATATAACTGTAAATTTGTATGGAACATTTAATGTAATCAATAAGGTTACTTTTACACTACTCATGTGTATAATTATTGTGACATAATTGTCCACTGAGCATGGACAGGCAGATACAGCTGAATATATATGGTTTCCTTCGTATCATTGGGTTCGGACTCACTGAAAGTGTGAACTGCTTGTAACTGTGTCGACTGAAATACTATCTAGCACATCCCTGAATCTCTATTTTCGATCATGAATTGTGTGTCTGGTATAACAAGATCCAGTCTTTGCGTAGTGAAACGAATGAGTATCTGGTCTGATAACAGTATGATCCCAGTTATAACTAATAGGATTTAACCATAGCGGGAGTAGGACAATCAACACTGATGCAACTGAATGATTGTAATACAATACTGTGGATTAACTGAAATTGAATTTCAATTTAATGGTCTAAGGTAATCATGCTCGCCAAGAGAGCAGAAAGTTGTGGAGTGATGCATCACTGCTATGTCTCATGTTATGATGAAAAAGCTGTCCAATGTCTTTTGTTTCCCTTTAAGATATTGAATAAAGCCAGAATATAATATAATATAAGAAACGAACTGCTCACGCAAACAAATAAAAATGGACAGGTTCTCTTTTCTCAGTACCTCCAAATGCATTCGCCGATTCACATGTATGTACTAAAGTACATGTTCGCAAATGCAAACATGTCCCCGAAAACTTGAGAAGAAATGGCTCAGCATTTGCTTGACACCGAGCATACTATTGACACTCCACAAGCCTTCGAAATTATCAGAAGACGGAAAAACGCAGCGTTTTTTCGGTGTACCGAAGCAATAGCAATATTTCCATTTTCAATTTAAGAATATGGATTAATTCAACTTTAAAGGTTTGTCGATTTTAACGCAAAAATGATAATATTGGACATATAACTGTTAAGAGCCTGGATGAAGAAGTTATTGAAAACTATCATTCGTTTTAATACACTTTGAGTTTTAAATATTTCATGGGAATTTGTAAATGGTTGAAGTAGTTATATTGTCAAACGTAAGGTTTGAGGAAGTTAATAAAGGTCTTTTTAGTTGAAAACATGATTTGATAAGTCAATATAAAATAATAAACAAACGAATGAAATTAAGAAATGTTTGGTCGAAAACGTTAGTATGCAATGAACTGAGCAGGATTAGATTACACGTAACTTAATGATAAAAAACAATACAAAAGCAATGACAAGAATATAAAAAATAAAGAAATATACGGGGATATAAAGGAAACTACGGTAATTGTAATGAAATTGAAGATGAACATTACATCTGTATATAACGATCTGGCATCAGCTTGAATGTTTTATTATTTATTTAGACACATAAATATTGGTACAAAAAAGCACCAGATAAATATGCACCACACAAATCTCATTCGATTTGTATGAGGGCTGTGATACTGCCAAGGTGCCCAAACTGAAGCTGGTGGTTTTCTTAGGGGGCCACACCCAGAGCCTTTGACCTAAAGGTCTGATCCACAAGGCAGTGCAGCATCGTGAAGAGATGCAGTCCCATGGTAGCCGATGACCAACGATTGATTCATACACCATTTGTCCCTTTAGGATACTGGAGCCCATGTGACCATTAGTTTGGAATCAGGGTTTTCCAACTCCTCTTGGGTGAACTTTCCATGTTCACCAACCCGGTTAAAGCGCCGGACATTGGCTTTTCGTCCTCTCAATTTCTTAAACAACAGTGATGTCACGAGAAGGTAGTGAGTAGGACTTCCCTGTCAGAGGCTATATACGTGTGGCCATATGAGAGCATTTCGACAGGGAGAGCGGACTCTCCCCACTCTCGGCCGTACCAGGGTATTTGGAGGCCAGCTTGAATGTACTGATACTTGTACGACGAAAACACTCTTCATACAAGAATAAAAACTATACATTTCTTATGAAAGTGTAATCACCAGAAAGGATATTTTTCTGACTAAACTATGTTTCATATCATTCTGTTAGCCAAATCGTTTGGTTTGCTTTGTTGATTTAAATGTAGAACATTGTATACATGAAACTTTTTTCTCTCACCCCACTTCATATTGAGGAAATTTTGATTTTAACTAGTGAATTTTACAACATTAGAAATCTATAAAATTCAGTCTCCTGAAAAAGAACATACTTTTCTAATCTGTTTAATCAAAGTGCACTACTTTCTTTTTTTTTAAAAAACCCCAGTATCTCTAACAATTTTATCAACAAGTGTCCATTTACAGAGTTTGTTTATTTTAAGATATGATTTGTATATTAGGCCACGGAGGGATACATGCATAGACACAAAAATATAAGAACATTTTGTAAGAAACTTCAAAAGTATTCATCTTCTTTTAAATATACAAGCAATTTCATAGGAACATCTAAAGGTAAATATTTTTGTTAAGATTGATAAGTAAGATAACATCAAATGATGTAATTTTATCTTAACTACAAAGATATGATCTCTATCCATGGTTTAAGTTTTTTTCTGTGAATTCATTCTTTAATCAGTAATCATATTCGTTATGCATAATCTTTTTTCTTACCATTGATAATACTCTTAATTCTATCTCTGATAGTAATCTGGTTGTTGTATAGTGATAACCTTTGTATCTCAGGTGGATGATGTGGATGGAGTTTTGTTCTCTAAGCTGGATGGTTTGGTTAGACGTCTATGCTGATGATGTTGTTCAGAAGAACGATGAAAGCTCCACGACTAAACTATCCAACTCAGAGAATAAAAATCCATCAAAATAGTGATAACTTGAAATGATACAGATATATACCACAGTAATACATCTCATTCCTGTCATTAAGCTATATCAATAAATACGGATATCATTTGGTTAGGTGTTTCGCGGAAATTATTTTAATCAGAAAGTGCGTTCTGCTACTGAAAATCAAGGAGAATTGGGTAGCTGCCTCTATCTTAGCTTGTAACTACTACGTACTGTGCACTCGTGACACAAGATAGAGTCGTCAAATCTTTTGGCGAGTACATTAGCTTCAGAATAGTTGAGAGACAAAATCCAAAGATTGACAGTCTCAACTTTATACTTAACATTACGAACTGATTTTATTCAGGTAACCACTGAACAACTGTTTCACTCTACTAGAGGATTTCTCATCAGTCCACGTCCGTAATTACACAGAAGATAGGACCCAGTACCTTCAGGTCCTTAGAGTTTAACCTTTCGACCACTGAGTCAATGTCCAATAGTTTACATTTACAACTTTAGTCCATTTTCAATTGACTGACTTGATAATTCAATGTTGTTAATGTTGAGGAGTTTCAAAATCGGGACGAAACAATTGCCTAATGATTTCTCGTTTTCATACTGATATCAGTCCACAACAACAGAAGTTCCCGTTAAATGTGCATATTCGTTAAATAAATATTGATTGTAAAAAATATTTAAATACTATATGGTTAGAGATTTTTGCTTCAACATTGTTAAAGTGTTAGGAACCACTGGTTAGGCAATATAAGTCATGCAATTTAAGAATTATTCATACAAGGTAATACATTGATTAACTCGACAAACAGATCAAAAAATTATTTTTACTGTTTTTATTTTGCATATTCATTACTTCAGTCATTTATTTTACGTTTCATTTTTATAATAAAAATGTTTTATTATAGCCCTATATCATCGAAACCTGAAAGGATTTACTATTTAACATAATTAGAATGTAAACTAAGGGTATTCAGTATCTCATTATGTAAAAATAAATGTTTAAAATTAAAACACAGATTTCAGCGAAGGGATCTCTTTTCAACGAATTTATTATCAAGCTGTACAATCGTATATATATATATGAAAATGTTTTGTTAAAGTACTAATTCCGTGAGGAAATGTGAACACTAATAACCAAGATTATAATACTGGATTACGTAATATGAATAATAACAATAGATTTAGTGAATAGAATAAGATGATTAAAATGTTTTGGTTACAATAATTAAAGGTCATTAAAGGTAATAGAAGTGTAAAATAAATAAATAAGGTGTAAATAAGAGTATTCATGAATAAAATAATGAGAATATGAGACATAAGTAAAGGGGAAATGGAGTAATAATAGTAATAAAAGAATGATAATAATAATATTAAGGCCATGGTAACGATAATGATAAAACGTACTTCTTTTGTACGCATAGTTCTGGTTTGAGCTCATGGATGGTAAGAGCTTCGGCTATTTTTAAAAGTTTGATCCGAAGAAATCTTGGTAGATTTGAACGAATCATATAAACAACCTTAAAATCAGACTGTGGATTCGTCGAATAATTACAGTCGATTAGGTGTTCGAGTATAGAACTTCAAACTGCTTTCTTTCCACCATTGTAGAACCAAGCTGGTATATGTTCTCGTATCCGGGTTGAAAGCGAGCGCTGGCTACGGCCGATGTACCTTGCTCCACAAGAGCAGGTGAACTGGTAGATGCACATGGAGGCGACCAAACGCGGAAGCTTATCTTTTATGGATACAGAAATTAAGTTCTTACTGTTGAAGGTTATTCGTAGTTTTGCAGCGTTAAATGTCCTTTTAATCGTTGTTGTTAAACGATTTTTAATTATGTCTGATGTTCGATCACCTTTAAATTCCAGACTTATATAAAGGCTTTTCTTTGGCACTGAATAACTAGGATTCTTATCGACGCTACTTCTGTTCATATTCTTCTCTATGAACCGGTCTGGGTAGCCATTTTTCAACAAAGTTTTCTTGAGGAACGCTAGTTCTTCGTTGATGCATTCTGTACTACATATCCGATGTATACGATAGCATAAAGAATGAATCAAGTTTCTCTTTCTAATTAATGGAACCCAGCTGTAGAAGTTGGTTAGTTGACCGTTTCATGTTTGCTTTCTAAAGATAGATCTTTTTAAAAAACCATTGCTTCTTCTCAATAGATGTACATCAAGAAAAGGGACTGATTGGTCTCTCTCTCTTTCTAATGTAAAGTCTATGGAAGGGTGGCATGAGTTGAAGAAGTGTAAGATATTGTCCAAATCAATATTATCGTCACAAACGACAAATGTGTTGTCCATGTATCTTACGTATAGTTGGAATCGACTTATCATTGAACTGAGTTGATCGTTTTCTAGTTTTGCCATGAAGCAGTCTGCTAGAATTGGACCTAAAGGAGATCCCATTGCGATCCCATCTCTTTGTCTATATATTTCATTGTTGAAACTGAACTGGACATTAAAGGTACAACGTAACAATAATTCTTTTAAGTGTTCAGTTGGAATACCTAGAACTATGTTGTTAGAGTCTATATACTCACAAATATAACATATAGTTTCCGTTAACGGTACACTAGTGAATAAAGAATTAACATCAAGTGAGAACATGTGTTTTCCGGAAGTATTAACATCCTTAATACGATCAATAAATTGAAAAGTATCATGAATAGAATATTTAGATACTTGCCTTCTAACTGGTTCCAATTTTTCAGCTAACCATTGGGCTATTCGGTGGTATGGTGAACTTGACATGTCTAAAATAGGTCGTAATGGTAAACCTGCTTTATGTACTTTCGGTAGTCCGTATAAGCGTGGGATGATTGAACCCATTTGGCCAATGTGATCATATAAATCCTGGGTAATTATCTCTTTATTTTTAAGGTTTTTAACAACATCCGTTAGCTGTTTTTCAATCTGCAGTGTTTTATCACCTTCTCCTTTAGGTTTAGAGAATTTAGTGACATCGTTTAAGATTAATCTCATTTTTTTCCAAATATTCTTGGCGGTCAAGTAAGACTACACCAGCTCCTTTGTCAGGTTTACTTAGTATTAAATCCTTATTTCTTCTCAGGAGCATTAGTTGATCCAGATGGTTCTTAGTTAATAAGTTGTTCTTACCACATTGTATATTAACATATCCATGACTACAGTCCAGTAATGTGGATTTAAAATGCTGAAGATTTTGTGGGGATGTCGGCACAAGATCATGAGTTTGGTTTGATAGATTTTCGAATTGAATTTGTGCATAAAGTCTGTTGGTTTTGGTGTTGCTATTACAGAATTTAGGACCCAATGATAAGGCCTGCATTTGGATAGCCTAAAGTTTAATAGACGAATGATTAAATACATAATTTTCGGGATGTTCTGGAAACTTGTTAATCACGTCTACGTGTTGCAATGTTTCTAAGTGTTTACGTTTAGCCTTTTGTGACTGTTTTTCAGCAACATCATTAACATAATCCTCAAATTGTTTACGTTCATCTAACGACAATTCAAACAATGCGTGACTTCTTAGAGATATGTTGCGATCTAATTCAACTATTCGAGATTTAATGGCATCTATACAATTGAGAGTATGACGTTTGAGTTTTTGCATTGGGATGAATGTGGTTTCGTCTTAGTGCCTTCCAGAAGAGTTTTGGATAATCATTACTTTCGATACAGCTTTCTAGAAAATTGATCTCACATTTCACTAGCGCAAGCTTGACGGTGTAACGTAAGAACCCATTGAGTTCCTTCATCGTCATATGGACCTTGCTTTTCTTTATTTGGTATATAATTCCCATTTAGACATTAAAATTAAAACACCGAACAGCCCAATGGTTAGCTGAAAAATTGAAACCAGTTAGAAGGCAAGTATCTAAATATTCTATTCATGATACTTTTCAATTTATTGATCGTATTAAGGATGTTAATACTTCCGGAAAACACATGTTCTCACTTGATGTTAATTCTTTATTCACTAGTGTACCGTTAACGGAAACTATATGTTATATTTGTGAGTATATAGACTCTAACAACATAGTTCTAGGTATTCCAACTGAACACTTAAAAGAATTATTGTTACGTTGTACCTTTAATGTCCAGTTCAGTTTCAACAATGAAATATATAGACAAAGAGATGGGATCGCAATGGGATCTCCTTTAGGTCCGATTCTAGCAGACTGCTTCATGGCAAAACTAGAAAACGATCAACTCAGTTCAATGATAAGTCGATTCCAACTATACGTAAGATACATGGACAACACATTTGTCGTTTGTGACGATAATATTGATTTGGACAATATCTTACACTTCTTCAACTCATGCCACCCTTCCATAGACTTTACATTAGAAAGAGAGAGAGACCAATCAATCCCTTTTCTTGATGTACATCTATTGAGAAGAAGCAATGGTTTTTTAAAAAGATCTATCTTTAGAAAGCAAACATGAAACGGTCAACTAACCAACTTCTACAGCTGGGTTCCATTAATTAGAAAGAGAAACTTGATTCATTCTTTATGCTATCGTATACATCGGATATGTAGTACAGAATGCATCAACGAAGAACTAGCGTTCCTCAAGAAAACTTTGTTGAAAAATGGCTACCCAGACCGGTTCATAGAGAAGAATATGAACAGAAGTAGCGTCGATAAGAATCCTAGTTATTCAGTGCCAAAGAAAAGCCTTTATATAAGTCTGGAATTTAAAGGTGATCGAACATCAGACATAATTAAAAATCGTTTAACAACAACGATTAAAAGGACATTTAACGCTGCAAAACTACGAATAACCTTCACCAGTAAGAACTTAATTTCTGTATCCATAAAAGATAAGCTTCCGCGTTTGGTCGCCTCCATGTGCATCTACCAGTTCACCTGCTCTTGTGGAGCAAGGTACATCGGCCGTAGCCAGCGCTCGCTTTCAACCCGGATACGAGAACATATACCAGCTTGGTTCTACAATGGTGGAAAGAAAGCAGTTCGAAGTTCTATACTCGAACACCTAATCGACTGTAATTATTCGACGAATCCACAGTCTGATTTTAAGGTTGTTTATATGATTCGTTCAAATCTACCAAGATTTCTTCGGATCAAACTTTTAAAAATAGCCGAAGCTCTTACCATCCATGAGCTCAAACCAGAACTATGCGTACAAAAGAAGTACGTTTTATCATTATCGTTACCATGGCCTTAATATTATTATTATCATTCTTTTATTATTATTATTACTCCATTTCCCCTTTACTTATGTCTCATATTCTCATTATTTTATTCATGAATACTCATCACCTTATTTATTTATTTATTTATTTTACACCTCTATGACCTTTAATGACCTTTAATTATTGTAACCAAAACATTTTATCCGTCTTACTATATTCACTAAATCTATTGTTGTTATTCATATTACGTAATCCAGTATTATAATCTTGGTTATTAGTGTTCACATTTCCTCACGGAATTAGTACTTTAACAAAACATTTTCATATATATATACGATTGTACAGCTTGATAATAAATTCGTTGAAAAGAGATCCCTTCGCTGAAATCTGTGTTTTAATTTTAATGTTTAAATGGGAATTATATACGAAATAAATGTTTATCAGTAATCATTGGGACAGGGAATCAGTGATCAGAAATTACAGAACAAAGCACGAATCCAATAGTTTCATAATGTTGTATCCCGAAGAGAATTGTGAATGGTAACTCTGAAGACTATTTATGGACCAAAGTGATATGTATATTTCCTATTGTATAATTGTCAAGTAACTAAACTATTCATATTCGTGTTTCTCTCATCATAAGCTTTATTTTGACCTATGAACTATTATTATACAATTTACAATTCTTGATTTATCCCCAGTCCATTAATTACTGTTCCCCTTATTCACAGCCACATTTGGCTAATTGTTGTACAAATTTGGTTTCCTTTTTTATGGCACGATGTGGTCAGTTTGTTTGGTATATAAACCCAGTATGTTTGAGAATAATGATTCATATTGCAGAGGCTGTTATTGGTGTTCTGAAGTTAACTGGCTGGGCTAGGCAGAAAGCAAGGCCGATATGCACTCTAGATTGCTCGTACAGTTTTCGTATGTCACTGTCCCAATCGATAGTTCACTGCTCTTTGATTGGCGGTTTTATCACATCTTACAGTAACAAGTCATCATCTCTGTCCTTTTAATATCCTTAGAGCCTTTACAGTAGTTACGAAGACGCATGATCTTTTCGGAAACAGATGGTTTACTCAATGAATGATTTCCACTAAAAGTTTGTGTATCTCCTGAGAATGCTTACTAAACTTCAGTAAAAGCATTATAAACTTTGTCAAGCAGCTGAAATCTGGTGAATAAACTGTTTTGTGTACTTTCCAAGAAAAAGAGTTAACATCCAATAACCTAAAATGCACATAACACTGTAGTAATGCCATCTTCTAAGGGTACCTGATGATGTTTATCATAAATTATGTAACAGTACCAACTTTTGCATACACGATTAGTCATTAATACAAATTGTATTCTCACCAGTGTGCATCGATTGATCCAAACCCAGGACCTTCGGTCTCACACGCGAATGCTTAACATCTAGACCACTGAGCCGGCACCAAACGGTGTTTATGTCTAATTTCAACCAATCCATGATATTGAGCGACCGTTCACCATGGTCTTCAATGAGCAACTGCCTCACAACAGACATTGTTTAGATCTACTGGTCACGGCTTCTCACTAGAATTCCAGGAAATCCATCTTGAAGCCAGTCACTAGTGAGCGGATGACGAAACGCCCATCCAGTGCTTCCAGGTTTTCATTAGTGGTCTAACATTGATCTATACATGATATCAATCTAAACTCAACAATCACCACAAACCTATACCGATAGTTAGTATTCTGTTAATAAAGGCTGTATTTTAAAGTGATTTCACTTCATATTGGAAAAAAAATATTGTATGCAACTTATTTTTCACATTATTCAGAACATCATTACAAATATCCAGTCCAAATAATTTGTGAAACACAATTTGTTGGAATAATGTCACCTTATCGTTATGGAATGTTGCTTTGTGTTTTGTATCAACTTTATCATGACTGTAATAAATTAACATTTTCAGAATGTACATATTTATACGTAGTATTGAACAAATGTTTTATTTGTAAGCTGGAACAAACCAATATTCTAAATCCAGCTTAATAAAAATAACATTATTACATCGTTCCTCGTTTATTTATTTATCCATTCAGTGTTAAAATACATTAGAGGTGAGAAATAAACCTTATTACACAATAGATGATATAATTACATGAAATAATAATGAGATATTCGTTTAAAGGTTTATTTATGTCAATCATATATACATATAATGGCTAAAAACTGATGGACAAATTTATTATCATAATAACTTGGAAGTCATCAACAGTCTAAATAGCTCTTATTATTTCACCATTTGCAAAAATCCTTAATTCATTAATGAAAAACTCATCAAATTTACCGATTGATTTAACTATGAAGCGTTAACAAGAATGGCTGCTTTAAACACTACATTAGTGAAAAAGTTTAAAGGTGTTTATCGAAGGCAGAACAACCTAACTACTTAAAATATATCATTATTGTAATTATACAAACCATACTGTAGTCAACAAGAACACGGTCGGGGACAATCGAACGTATTTAAGCATAAATTACAAACTAACTTGCTAAAATCTGATAACCATACAGCAAACAGTTAATTTGCAAAATAACAATCAATTGTCTCAACCTTGACTGTTTCTTTTGTAAATATCAATCCATCTTCTCTAATTTCATTGTTGATGCATTTTCTTATCAATTGCATTTCATTTCAGTTCTTTCCATATTGGTCTTCTGCAAAAATATATTCTATACCTGACCATCACCATATACTGCTTATGTGAATATAAGTAGCCCATACCACAATACTATGCGTTTATATGTTAAACTCACTGACGCTTATTAAAAATATTAATAACTATAATGCTCTTGTTAACTGCACTAGCTAATAAGATTTTGGACATATATTACTTTATAGTTTGCGATTTATACTATGATTTTTACCACAGTATCGTATGACGAAACTTCTGGAGTTTGCAGTTGAACTAGTATAATGAGCATTGAGTTTAACGTAAATATATATCAACTCAAGCTGCAATACCACCCCAGGACGAATTACAAAGGAATCAGAATGAAAGTAGTATTAGCAGTAGCGATAAAAATGAAACAATGAAAATACAATTCAAAAATAATCGTTTTGCTGTATTTGCCAAGTATCCTGCGCCTAAACTCACGATTGTTCAATCGACTGTTTTGACATGCGCGGGTAACACTTTGAAGATATATTAGATCAAAATCGTTCAGTCTTCATATGTCTCCTACCCTTATAGACCATATTTCACACCTAAAGAATATCACGGAGTGAATTTCTGAGTAATATATCTATACCTTCGTAAGCAGACGATCATCTTGTCTACTCCACGAGCGGCTTAAGCTGGCCAAACCTAACTGAACGTTTTGAATATATTTCAAGATTTCCTCAAATATCAACTAATCACAGAAAGTAAAACTTCCAAGATGAGTGAAGTGGTTGATGAGCTCATCTACCTCACCATACTGAAATAAAGATGTCTATGGGTAGGATATTTCAAAACATAACATGTAAATGGTTTCACTGATACTGTAATGCACAGTGTGAATTACTTAAAATGATATATATAGTTGGTACTCACCAAACGTTCTCTTCGTGTTCGAATACCTAAACGTCTTGCTTGCATAGATGCACGAAAACTAAAATAATAAAGATGAAGACAAAAGGACAATCATAGAGTGATTAGCATTAGCAACAACAACGAAAAACTTCGACATGGTATCTGATGTTGATATACTCACGTGAAAATAATGAAGATGAAAAAACGTTGTGTAATCATACTGATAAAAGTACAAAATTGACTACGAGTATTACAATATCGAGTAACTATGTTACATAATGATATTTGAAAGATATATATATATATAACAGCAAAAAAAGAGAAGTAAATATTGCTCATCACGAAAGGAAGATGTATTGTCGCTTAAGTAAACAACCATACGGACAAAAACAAATGTTGACATATTACTCAAGTGAATTCAAAAAGTTATTTGTTAAATAGTTCATTAAAACAATAATCACGCCTAAAGAACCAATTCGAAAGAATTACAATTTAGACAGCTTTTTAATTTCCCATCTTTTTGGTAAGAAAAGCACGAATTTAAACAACAATAATTTTTATGGACACTTTAACATGAAAAGAATTTCTTATAATTTCTAATCTTTAGTGTGTGAAGTTAAACATACAAATCACGGCTCATAAGTGAACAACGTTATTGTTACCGGTATGCATTACCTAGTAGTACATATATATATTCGTTAACTGTTTGATGGTTCACATAATGACTATTTGATCAAATTAGGCTTTAATGTAAAAGTCATCAATTATCCCAAGGACCCAAATGGAAAATGTGGACTTTCTGGTATGTATCTTGTTTGCTCTAATGACCCCTAGCTTTCATCTAGCTTACTCTACTGCTCATCAGCACTGTATCTCGGGATAGTGAATATCGAGAAATATATGAACATATACTAATCGATTAAGGTTTATATTCTTATCAACCAACTTACCATTTCTATCTAATCACAATTTACTCCATAGTTATACTTTAAGCAACTAATTTATCGAAGATACATATAATCAAACACTAACAACCTATTCAAGTCTTCTTCCTTCATTAAAAATATTTCACCGATGTAAACTAACATAAATAGGGATGTTGTATATTAATTTTTCTTCCTTGATAAATAGAGCGATATCAAATCACAGGTAGTACAAATTGCTAAAACTCAATTATGCATCCGTATCCATCATATCAAGATTTTTTCAAGGGCCAGTCAAACATTCAAGATAAATGAAATTGTCATATCAGTTGATCAGTTTACTGATTATGTTTAGACAAGTTGTTGAAACAGACTACTACTGATGTAATACAAATCATGCATACAAATCAGTCTGATTGTAATGGTTCCAATACTGGTTAGTTAACCATCATTACTATCCAATATTAATAAACCAGAAAACGAAATAACAACAACATAAAAGGAGAGAAAGAATAATATCACAGGAATAAAAATTATCCTGAATAATAGTCATAAAAATGATTTTTATTAGTTTATTACAATATGAGGGGGGGAAGAGTGAAAAAGAAAAAAATCAAAATGTAATCATCATCATCTAACGACTAGGAAGGTGGAAAAAGCTGTCAGATTTATGACTTCTACTGTCATAAATAGTTCTTTAAAAGTTTTTTTTTTAAACAAATAAAACGATCAAGTGCAGTGTATTCTTTTTGTTTCTGTCCATCATGAATAATTAAATTTAATCCGGTTAAAATATACTTTAAAACCTTCAATAAAATAACGCAAATAAATGACAGGTTACAACATATATTAACTTTTAGAAGGGGTTTTGTGGATATTTAATAGTTGAGACCATGAATTCATTGAAACTAGACCACCATGGAAAACCTGGAAGCACGGGACCGCCCGTTTCGTCCTATTATGGGACTACTCAGCGGTGCGTATCCGCGATCCCGCCTCGCGAGATCCGAACCCAGGACCTACCAGTCTCATGATTTCAACTATATATCAAAATTACTAAACGTCTCCAGTCTCGCACCAGCTCAGTGGTCTAGTGGTTAAGCGCTCGCGGGCGAAAATGATATATTAATTTGTTAAGAGAATTAAAATTATGTTCAAAATTCTAATCATATCTCATTTATAGTGAATGGTAATGATGCAAGAATTAATTAGTTAAAACTTCTATGTCCACCATACGATGATAATTTAGATTTGTAAATTATAATTGAACATTTTGTCCTATAAGTCAGACAGTATTGAATTTAATCAGTTTATTTTCTCAAGCATTCAATGACAAGATAAACTGTATAAATGATAACATGTTATTTCAAATCTGTATTGGTTGCTTGAATTTTCCCATAGATGTTCAGGACTGCAACTGATCAGTCTCTTATTAGCATATATGCATACTGCGGGGGTTCCTTCGATAGTGCGTTCAGGCACAAGCATTATAAACTGATGATGGCTAGCAGTGGAATTCGGGACGCTCGTTTCGTCTTATTCGAGACTAGTCAGATGGTTCTGTTAAGAGTTACCGTTACTTTGGCTGTTCGCACCTTGAATGTTTTAGAATACACTTTCGGTTGACGGCGTTTTCGGGTTTCGCAATGACTTTCTTTGTGCCCGTTTCTGCAACACGTAGTACAACAATGACTTTTAAACGGACAAAACCTCTTAAAATGCCAACCGCCACACAACGAGCATGGGGATGATGGTTTTCTGCTGTCATTAAGATAATTCTGTGAGCTAGAAACTTTTAAGACTTTTCTCTCGATTGCATTGATGTGAAGGAACCGGTTACCGTTCCCTACCATCGAGGTATCATGCTTCGAATTTATTAACCTTTGGCATTCGGTGGTTACTTTCTGTCGGGTTACGCTGAGACAATGTTCGACTTCGCTTAGGATTCTCACTGGGACTTCAACATCCTCGGGTGAACGCAGGCTACAGACAATTACGACACATTCAAACTGGTCTTCAGTCATGGAAGACAACTTGATTCTCTCACATTGTCGGTTCACAATTCTTGCAAGTTTCACCCAGTCATTTGGTTCTTTATTTATCTCCAAGCATTGGTAACGGATATTAAATAGAGATGACTGTTCTCCAAAGATTTGAGATAGGGTTTCAATTGTTTCATCAAAACTAAAGTCCCGTGGATTCTCTAGAGGATTAAAGTTACTGTAGCGTTAATGTTCGTCTTCCTAAGTTTTCTTACAAAAATCCTGACTTTTGAGGCGTCATCTAGTCTGCAGAGATCATGGAACAGACCTTCATATTTCTTGAGCCGAGTCAAAAATAACACCTGGCAAACCTTAAAAAATAAACCCATGGGTTGCACTAATGACTGAATCAGTAGGGGACACTTGTAATTTACCAAAAGCTGAGTTTTGCGGTGGCAGGCACATTTTCCGCATAACGGCTTCCATGATTCTGATTTGAGATTGTTCAAATAGTTTCTGATGATGCTCCATATAGGCTTTTAGTTGCTCCAAAGAAATATTCATTGTGGTTTTCCCCGTCGCCGCTGATAAGTCCTTTGACTGATCGTTGGATTCGGTTTCTTAGGCTCTGTAGTAGACATCAGCTTGACATCAACCGAGTTTATTGTTATACAGAATGATAAATCTTCTAATTGAACGCTAGGTTCGGTTCCTAAGCTCTTCCAGTGACCCGCAGGCTAAATCTAAACAGAGACTTGAACACGAGAGAAAAGGCGCGAAATATGGAAGAAATGCTTTAATCCAAGGTTTGTTTATGTAGAGAAAATCTAGGGTTTTTATAGTGTTTTAGATGGCCTAGGGCTTCCGGGAAATTCTGGAACGCTACTAAACATAATGCCGGCAGATGTTTCTCAGCATTTTTAGAGTCCTTTTTGTTTTGCCTTTTTCGAATTTTCCGGATCTCCCCAACACAAATATCTTGTTACGATAGCGATCAAAGACAATTTTTTTCTGAATCTACTTGATTATTAATCATTTAGATGGTGAATTGCTGATTGAAAGCTCAAGAGATATCAAATGTAGATGTTTCCACAAAGATTGAAAGTTGACAATCGTTCCGACTTTGTGCCACAATGAAACTGTCTTCTCTAATGACTTATCTTCATTTACATTCCGTAATACTGTAGAAATTTTCCAATAACTTTTGGTCGTTCAGTTCATACACGTACTGATCAGTAATTGAACAAATTACACAAATATGAAATGAGATATTAGTTAATTACTAATTCAAGATAACACAGCAAGACTTTAGTAACTCAAACACTTGATTTTTAACCGTTAGTCTATAAATTCCAATTCCCATGTGTTCACTTTGTCTCAAAAAATTGGACAAAGTTATTAACCATCACTTGAAGTAAAGTATGGTCCGAATGCTAATGATATAAACCCATACTTTGATTATTGAATTGGATAAATAATAATATGAAATAGTGAAACATGATAGAAATGTAATCAATTTATAATAAATTCCTAACTATAAAAATGCTAACAGATGTCTAATTTGCATCACAGCATAAGTACACACAATGAATGGATACAGTTCAATGTTCCATCATCCATTCACAAAAAAAACGCAATATGCATAGGTAAAAGAAATATATGAAAAGTTTATTGAATGTTATGCTAACAATATAAAAAAAAAACACTTATCCTATATCATTATGCTGTATCATAAGAGTATAAAAGTATTCATTATTAACAAGGGAAAACAAATTAACGAGATGCTTGCAAATATTATGTATGCTTAACAACGAGGAAAAAAATCGAGAGTTACACAAATAATTTACACCAAAATGCATCTATGAATTCATTTATGTAATTTATTTCTAACTTATTTATGAGTTACAGGCTTATACACTAGACATTGAAATACACTGTGTATTTGAATTCTATTCGGTTGGTAAAATCAAACAAGGAGGATCGAGATTCAAATCTGTAATCTTTAAGTTGAAAGTCGAGTACAATAATCAATAACTTATTGCGTCAAACGTTTCGTTTCAGATTACTGATCATATAGTTGGAGATTGTTAGCAGGAAACCATTGACCTAGGTTTTGTGTCCATAACCACTCGTTAACAGGACACATCGGCAATCCTGAGGGAGTCGATGATTGCTGGGGTATTCGAACCTGTCACTCAGGTTCACAGCTTGAGACATAACTACTGAGTTATTCGGTTGCAAATGACCTTCTGTCGGGCTGAGGTATTCATAATTCATTGATCCCTGAAAATCTTTTAGTGCTGACTTGATTCTACCGAATGGTTTGTAATGTGGCCAGTTGTTCATGTGACTCAACGTAGTGGACAAGATATCACGTCACTTGGGGTAGTGGACACATTGCAACTCGATAGACAGAATTGTGACGATTACACAAACTTGAAATGACATAATATCCAATAGTGTTCCAAAGAAAGAATGTAATAATTGGTAGATGTAATTCAGTATTTTGTAAGTGGTGTTTACGTATTATTATTGATTATCCTCAGCTATTTAAAGTCAAATTTATGATTTACTGGGAAAATTGGACACAAAAATTAAAATCTAAGTTTGTCACAAACCCAAACAAAATATTTGTAATTTAAAATAGTGTAACCAATTTCTTAGGTTTGTCTCATTCACTTTCATCAATGCCTAAGCACATTTCCCGTTGCATAAAGTATATTTCTTAAATCGATTTTTGTAAAGGCGAATACATTAGTGTCCATTCACTTATTAACAATTATTATGTTTTTATACTGTCCGCCGTCAATAAAGTTTGTGAAAAAAGGATGTTAAGAGTAAAATAACCGGATAATCACTTACATACAATTAGTGTAACGAGATGTTTAAAAAAAGACGAATCATTATCGATATTTACATATTTGTACAGACCTAATCATGTCTGTAAATTTTGTAATTAGAATATACATACATTAAACAACTATAAATATTTTGCAGTTTTGCATCTCATGGCCCGATATTAGTTAGAAAACTATAGTAAATCAGGAGGCATTAAACAGATGTTTCATTCTATCACGCGACTCTTCAGTAGTGCACGTCCACGACTCCGCCGGGATCAAAACTAGGACCTAGGTCATGAGGTGAGAGCTCAAACTTTAAACCACTGAGTTGGCATCTAATGGTTTACAGTTGTCATTTCCGTCACTCCCACTAATCTAGCTAAGATCAGTGGATGATACAAGCCACAAAATTCAACTCTACAAACTTCCCAAACTAATAATTAATAGTGTTACTTACCTTGAATATAAAAATCCACTAATCACAACTGTAATTCCTAACAATGTAACAATATCTTTGCCTAAATGTTCGCTGATTTTATTCACACCACCAGGTAGGCATTCATTAACTAAAACGATTGGATCAGTAATATTTGGTTTTAATTTAGATGGTAATGCCGGTGATGTTTTGACTTGGTTAGTGGTTTGAGTGAATTGGTGAGATAATAAACGATTCAACTGATCAGCAACAACAACTAGCGGGTGAATAGTAAGATTTCGCTCTTCTTGTACATCGTTCATCTTTTTTACTGTTTGTTTTTGCCACGGAAAATTCGATGATAAAACTGTTATAAATATATATGAAAGGAAAATTGTATAACGTAACTAAAAGATCTAACAAGGGATATATAATTTGGACTAATAGACAAAAAACGTCAATGATCCCCTAGATTAGGTTGATTGTAGCCATTAGTGGGATTCAGGAAGCTTATTAGGTCTTGTTTGACACTCTTCAGTGAATGTACCTGGATCTGCATATACAAACCTTTAATAAACAGCAGTGACTTATGTGTCTATCCTTTCTACCGGAATTCAACCATAAAGAGAGGGTTCTGCTTCTAAACTTGATGCAATGCCTACCCCCAGTAAGGTCACGAAACGTATGCAGTCGAGACTGTAGATTTATGATGAATGACTCTCATAGGTCATAGGAAAAGTGAATTAATCGGATACTGCAGCGGAGTTTCAGAAATGATTAATATATTAATGAGACAAAAAATTTAGAATCCTAGATAGTGAAACTTGTTGGTCATTTTAATAAAAGATTAGGACATTAAACCTCATAGAAGAAATATTAAGAAGTTGTGATGTTTGTGTTAGTAATATACGACAGATATAAGAAATGCATCCCCAACCAATGTAGATAATGACTATTAGCAGAAGTCATAAACGTTCATTATTATCACATAATTATTTTTTTCAGTAACAACTATATGAAACGTAAGACAACATTCCCACAGAACCGGTTAAACTCGGTGACTGCTTACTCGAGAAATACATGACGAAAACAGATGAATTTATGGGGTCAAAATTTTATATTAACAATATAATAACAGTAAAATATGTAGTTCGAAAATTCAAATAATAACATGGCTGTTATAGTATGTTCTGTAAATTATTGAATTTGGAGTTTTACATAACGAATTGACTTTAGATAAAAAATCACTGGGATTTGGAAGAAATGGATAGTTGTTTCGTTTTAGTATGTTACTCCTCAGCACTGTCTACCAACGGTTCAATTGAAGATTGAATCCAGGACCATCAGGTCTCGTGGCGAATTTTGTGAACATGCTGATCAGTAGAACGTAAAACGTTTGAGATCGACCAGAAGTATACTTAACATTCCGGTTCTAATAATAAGACTAAATAACGACTGACAATTGCTGAAATTCAAGAAGCATTCATTTAAAATATCTCAATTCATATTGAAAACTGGCCTATACAAAAACAAAACTTGAAAATATAAAATTCCTGAATTTAGTTTAACTCACTTCTCGGTTGACTACCTAAAGCTGACCATGTTAGAAAAGCTACAAATGCAGAAGTGATTGCACCTGGTAACCACATTTGACCTTTTCTTACTAAAATTAAAAAGATGTTTATAAAAAAACAATCAACTACTGATAAATAGTTAGTAATATACGCATTTCAAAAAGTTCCTTAAACAGTCAATATTTCATGTCGACAAGATATGAACGACCTTTAGTTAAATATACAACCATCCTAGTGCATTAGAATTCAAAACATGAATTTGCTGTATGAAGACTAACTTTATTAGGCAGTTATGGACTTTATCAACCCAATGTGTGATTATCACACTATAACATTATATAGGATTAATTCAATCTGACATCAAATTGGCATTGGTTGAAAAGAAGAGATCAGTCTTGAGAAATATACAATCATATCATAATGATTCAAATAGGTTATTTGAAAACAGTAATGGCTTATTTCTGGAATGTAATTCTATGTTTATTGAAGTATTTGACTAAAGTAAGCAGAAATACCTACATCGTTATTTTTTATTCGTTAACTTTTTTTTATTCGTTGACTTCCTGTAACTTCACCATTATGCTTATCAGTGATACAAAAATAGATTAGGTAAGTGTTGTTCAAAACATCCAACCGTAGAATTGAAGTGAAAAAAGAACAATCTTAATCTTTTATGTGAAGTTCACATCAACTTAGTACATTCTTTCCCGTCGAGTAATCCTTCAACCAATGCAATTCACTTAAACTGATAAAAGTGATAAAAGATGAGTTACAAGACACTAATACAAAAGAAAAGGTACAATATCTTAGTAAAGTTTGTGGAAACTGTTAAATTGTATCATTTACTTATGAACTGCAGACCCAGTGATCTGAAGGTTAAGCAATCGCTAAAAAGACCCGAAATCATAAGTTTAATTCCTAACGAAGTCTTAAATGTAGGCTATTGAGAAGTTCTATACTGAGATCAAACACCCGTTTTCGTTACTTCCTGGTTTTAGTGGTTGTCCGAGGTCAGTTAATCACATGAACTACAAACATTTAGGTAAAAATCATAAAAGTAAATTCTAGCATCTTGTAGATTGAATCCATCAATGTTAGCTGGTTGAATACAGACTATCTAATATGTCACCGTTGTAAATATACCTTTTTAACACAGTTTGGTTGTGGAACATTAGAGTCTATATATACTGTTCATAGTATTTAAAAAGAAAACACAACGTAGAAAGGATAACCAGATATTTTATTCCAAATCCAGTTTTCAGTCGCATTAAGATATTCAATGATAGTGAGTTTTTATCTAAATATATGAGGAATATCCTTTTCATCAGATACCCAGTGGAAATCTGATGGAAGTATTGGACAGCTGTTTCGACCTAACATGAAACTTCTTGACAGAGCGCACCCACGAACCCAGAGCAGATCAAATCTACAACATTCAGATCCCATACAGAACTCTTAACTTTCAGACTGTGAATTAGCAATCAATGGTTTACACCTCTAACTTTAATAAATAAAATGATGTTCCATAACCATCAACCAATCACGTTGGTGAGTAACTGTGTGATATAGGTGGACTCTATTAGTCGCAGGTTCGTTTTTATCCCCAAAAAGACCGTGGATGTGTGTTACTATAGAGCCATATACTAATACAAAATAGATGTCTAATGTTTTTAAATTATTATCTAACAAATGATAGTCTGTGATGTAATCCATAAAGCTCTACAATTTCCACAAACTCCTAACACTAACATAAGCAATAGGTTTACTAACTACCTTTTATAGGATGGTTTTTAGCATCAAACTACAATATGTGCGCTTGATAATATTATAATAATGTAACTAATTTACCAGGTACTGGTTTACTAAGTCGTCAGCTAGGAACGTTATTATTTTTCTGAATTCTAGTGATACTTACCAATTGGTTGCCTAAGCTAAAGTAGATGGAATATGAATTAAACTTGCATTATATTGCTCCCACTCCCAGCAGGCGGATTCGCCCCCAAATGTCCTGGTACGACTGAGAGTGGGGAGAGTCCGCTCTCCCTCTCGAAATGCTCTCAAATGGCCATGCGTATATAGCCTCTGCCAGGTAAGTCCTACTCATTGCCTTCTCGTGGCATTACTGTTGTTTACAAAATTGAGGACGAAAAGAGAATGTCCGGCTCTTTAACCGAGTTGTTGGACACGAGGGGTCCACCTAGAGGAGTTGAAAAACCCTGATCCCAAACCAATGGTGCACATGAGCTCCAGTATCCTGAAGGAACAAATGACGTATGAATCAATCGTTGATCACCGGCTACCATGGGACTGCATCTCCTCACGATGCTCCACTGCCTTGTGGATCACACCATTAGGTCGAAAGCTCCGGGTGTTGTTCTCTAAGAGAACCACCTGCTTCAGTTTGGGCACCCGGGCAGTATCACAGCTCTCACACAAATCGAATGAGATTTGTGCGGCGCATATATATCTGGTGCTTCTTTGTACCAATATTTATGTGTTTAAATAAATAAATCAAAGTTTCAAACATGAAGTAACTGTTGTAGTATTTACTAAATGTAAATATCCAAACACTGTATTATTCACCAACATATACCTATTAAAATATTATTCAGAATGATGGTGTGTAAACATACTCATAATATTGATTTATTGAACGACTATTTTTACGGTATATTTATGTAATCCTAATTTAAAAAGAGACTTTGTTTTCATTCATTAATTATTGTCATAATGTTTAAGTGTTCGCAAAAAATACCAGTCAACTAATTAAAAAGAGTACTCAGTTTTTGAGACTGAAAATATTTCTGATTTTGTGGTTATTGAGATTTAGAAAATATTGGATGTTTACTATGGTTATATGAGTCATGTATGAATCAGAAGTTAGAACAAGAATTGTGACCACTTATTCGGTTTCCTACTATTCCGATTGAAAGTACGTGAGAGATAGAGGAAATGCTATGAATGAATAGAGCTTGTGAGAATAGATTCATTTATAAAGTAAATGATATTCACACAGCTGAACTTAATTTATTTCATAAAAAGTTAGAAACATGTGATTCACAGACATATGAGTTAAATAAAGTTTCACTATAGAAGGAAGACTAAAACATATAAAATAGTATGTAATTTGACAATCAACAATAAGAACCCAAAAGAGTAACGGCTAGCAATTCGTAGTGATCAATTTCTGAGAAAACATATCAGTCCAACAGGAGAACAGTCAAATTCAGACTAGCTCAGTGATAAAATCTCTGATTATGATACTGAGTGCGAACGCTAGGGACAAACTTTGACAAATTGTGTCGACTAGCGCAAAACATAGATACAAGACTTCCTGTTAATCCTCGTGATGTGAATCGAGAAACAAAGAAGCCATGATAAACAACGGAAGCTATTTTTGGGAATATTATTTCATTTGTAAGCAAAGATGGACAGTGGTTATCAGTGGGATCCAGGACGCGCGTTTCGTCCTATTTGGGACTTGTCAGCTGGGTGTACCTGCATCTCAGAGTTGATATCCACTCTGGGACTCGAACCCAGTACCTTTCGCTTCAAACGCTATCGCGTTATTCACTCAGCTACTGATTCCTGATAGCCACTTGCTTGTGCAATGGGGTGAAGTTTAAATTCACTTGGTATTGTTTGTTTGAATCTTTCCATTGATTTTTAGGACTGCGATTGGTCAGTCTCTTATTGGCACATGTGCTTATAATGCTTGTGAATTAAGGCTATATCGAGGCAGTACGCACAATATGCACATATGCCAATAAGAGATTGATCAATTGCAGTCGTAAACAACAATGGGAAAATTCAAACAAACAATATTAAGTGAATTATTTCATTTGATTCAAAGTTCGTAAAATACTAACATTTATTTTTTTCATATGTTGTATAAGCTATAAACTTTTACTTAATGTATGATTCACTGCCATACTTTTTTCTGTACCGAAGCTATTGTGATTTAAACATTACCAATGGAATATGGAATGCACGCTCAACTCTGTTTTGGATTTATCGCCAGGATACACTTTTATCCTACAGTTAATTTTGACGGCGAGACCGGAACTCGACAGATAGTATATAACAAGCAAATCGATACTATCTCTAAACCTTTATTTCTGAAATAAATCTTGAACTGGTGTCGATATATTTTATAGATGAACTACTAGTTAGATAGTGACTCTTGTTTATTTGCGCCCAATTCATTCATCTGTTTAACAACAGAACATTGTCGCATTGTAGCTGATATCAGTTTGTCATGAAAATCCTATCTCTCAACCTCTGATCCGTACTGTAAGTACTTAAGCCTAACCAAAAAACTATGTGAGAGCCCTGAGAAGTCTATTTGGATCCCTTTAAGGGTTGGAGGAAGTGGATAATTTACATTCCTAAGAACAAGTTTCTCAATCGTTTTTCACAACTTCATGGCACACCGACCAGTGGATAACTTAAATAGATTCACTAATTATGTAGAATCTGTTCACAGTTCATAATATTTGTGTTTTCTTTCCCATAAACAAACCATTTATAGTATAACATAGCTTATTACATATATTACATATAAGAGTGTCTGCTTACACATAATATCCATTAAAATCTTAATTCGACAGAACTACTCAAGAAGTAGCTATGATCAAATTACGGATGCAAACATATACTGATCTCCTCTTGAATGTGAGTGAGCTTTCATAGCAAAACGAATCAGAAGCAAGGTATTAAACTTGAAAAACTTATAATCGCCATAAATCTATCACACACACTTACATTTCATTACTATATTAGAGATGGATTATTTTTAACTTTGATGTGTTCTTAATAGTAACTAAAGAAATAAACAAATTAATTCCATTTCATAATGGTTTTATATAGAAAGTTTAGTCTCACTAAACATTTAAATAATCTGATTTACATTCACATGAAAATACCTTGATTAATTGCGAGATTACTGATGAGAATTATAGGTTTTTTTTAAAATAAATACACACGAGAAGAGGTGTTCTGTTTAATGATGTTTTTCTCAAAATAAACATTAACAGATCCATAAACCCAGTTTCCATCTGGTTTGTGCTTTTGATCTTATAGATGGTGTCTTATTTACACTGGAATGCGATAATGATTAGATAGAAATATATTTTGGATTCAGACTATTTAGAAACTGATGTTTGAATGATACATTAGTCGCTTTTTGTCAACAGAGTAAAGCAAAAGTTTATTGAATATATTAAGGAAGGGAATTAGGGCCAAGGAAGAATGAGAGGTCGGATGTATGTTTTTTGCACACAAAGTTCGGGCTTGAATTGGTGAATCGCCAACGCCTCAGCAGTGTATAAGCTTTTGATTCAACTTATGCACTACTGAGGCGTTGGCGAACCACCAACTCAAGCCAGGAATTCGCGAAAAAGTGTTCATCGTGAAATTCAAAATGTCATTTTGCACCTTAGAACTATGTATTGATAGCCGTCTGGAAAAAAATGTACAATTCAACAATTTCCTGAATACAGTTTTGTCCCCTATTTTAGTTGGCTATTTTGACACCAAAATCTATACATCTGTGTTTTTGCTAGCACTCAGCTAACAATTCTTATACTAACAAGCTCTATGAATCATGTTATATCCGAACGAGGAATAAAATAATGGTAAATGATAGGATTTATTCATGGAATATTATTACGTATATTCCTAGTGGATAACTGTTAAGTAACTATATTGTATGTATTTTCATATTCCTTTTATTATAAGCTTCTCTCTGACCTATTGACTACTATTATACGATTTACTAATATTAGTTTTTTTTTCTCAGTTTATTAGTTACAGCCTTTCACACACACAGCCACTTATGGCCTGATCTCGTATAATTGCTATTTTCTATTTTACGGTATGATGTAGTAGTATGCCTGAAATACATGATTCATATAGCGAACGCTGATATTGGTTTTCTGGACTGGACCGGATGGGTTAGGCAAGAATCCACTATCTTAGAGGGCCAATATGAGCTCAGAGTTGATTCTAAGCTGCTCGTACTCGTATGTGCGTCATTGGTTTGGTAAAGTGCCAAGGTCATATAAGTCTATGTTTCTAACTGGCGATTTAGTCACGTGATACATCAGCAGGGCATAAGAAAACAACAAATCTCAACAAGTCATAAGGCATAAAATCAAAGCCTTCTGGAATACGTAGTCAAAAACGAATGATTCACACATTGGTTAAGTAACAAAAAGAGAATTTCTTGATTGATCAATAATAATGAATGAAATATCACCTTTGGAGTATACACTAATGAGTTTGTGTTTTCTCGTGTTTTTCTACATCTTTCAGTTATGCAGAACATATAAATATTCAGTCAAAATAATCATTATTGAAGTACAATAAAAGATTAAATAAATAATTAATTAATTCCGTTAGTGTCGTAAAAATGTGAAATTTGAGAATAACTTTCATCTTAAACCAGGTGAGCCATTGAATAGCTGCTTTTGGCTATTCTAGGATTCAACAGTGGTACACACTTACAGGATAGAATCTGAGATTTGAAGGTTACGTAGAGAGCATGATCTTATCAATTCAATAAATTGAAATTCAAAAGTACACATTTTCCTCAACGTCAGTTAGTACTTAAAATAGCAATAACCACCCACATGTTCGTGCTATAGTGCAAATTGAATAAAGTTAGAAATATCAACAGTTACATTTCCATGGTTTATCATGTCTTTCATACGACCTATAAGCCCTGCGCTCGTGATCATGTATGGAATTATAATCGCCAACTATCGAGAAGTTAAAAATCCGTAAATGAGAGAGTTATCTAGTATACATAATCAGTTCTTTAACTAAAAGCAAAACTATATTTAAAAAGCAAAGGAAAAGAAGAGAAAAAACATGCTAACTTACATATGGTGGAAAATGCAGAACATATAGCAAATAATAATGTAAGACCTCCGTTAATACCCGTGACAGTTAGATTTAATGTACATTGACGAGGTAAACCATAAAAGAGTACAAAGGCAGTATAAGCACAAATAGCCACAGCATACAGTGACAAGGTGACAATATATATAGCTGAAAATTAAAGAAGAAAAATTACGTACATGTATAGATCAAATGTCAATTATCAGGCCGAAACGAATCATTATTGTTAATTATTATTACTTAATTGGGAATTTGTTTGAAAAAAATTTTAGCTGGATAAAAATCAACATTAGTTAATTTGTGGAGTTTTCTACTGCAGTTGTGCGACTATACATAACTTATAAATTGGCATATATGTTGAAGAAATATTACATTAACCAAGATTTTCTTCAGAATTAATTAGGAAGGGAATTATTCTGTTATGTCCCGATAAAAATAGTGAATGGTAATTTTGGGATCCATTTATGGTCCAATACTACGCATATATTTTTTATTGCATAATCGCTAAATAACTAAACTATTCATATTCGTGTTCACCTTATTGTAAGCTTTATTTTGAACAATAAACTATTGTTATATGATTTACCATTCCTGAATTATGCCCTGTCTATCATTTACTATCTCCCTTATTCACAGCCACATTTGGTTGAATTTTGTACACATGTTATTTTCTATTCTATGGTACGATGTGGTCAGTTTGATTGGTATATAAACTCAATATGCTTGAAATAAACGATTCATACCACAGAGGCTGAGACTGTTCTGGACTTAACTGGCTGGGTTATGCAGAAAGAAGGACCGATAAGTACTCTTGACTGCTCGTACATGTTTCGTGTCTCACTGATCCGATCGATAATTCGCTGTCGGTATTATCACATTATCGCATTTCACAGTTAACAAATAAGTATTATCACGTTATACATTGACAAGACATCCACTCGGCCACAAGTTACAACATATCCTAGCTGTTAATTGACGTTATTCAAATCAAGCGAGACGTCAAGTCTGATTAACCGGAAATCACAATTTAACTTTCAAAAAATCAACTCTATAAATAAACACGAATTTTTCGTTGTAGTATAGTCCGTGCCAGCAGCATTTATACATTTTATTAAGTGTTGGTGCCTCACACAAATCAAATGAGATTTGTGTGGCGCATATATATCTGGTGCCCCTTTGTTCCAATATTTATGTGCTTAAATAAAATAAATGAACTATAAGACAAGATTGATCACGATGTCAATTCAGTCAGGATAATGTCTATGTTACAAAACTCAAGCAATCAAAGCTAACTAGTAAGTAACATGACGAAGTGACCAACTAATGTTTCGGATAGAAATATATGGTGATACGGGTTCGAGTCCTCGTGCGAAGATTAATCCCCTTGGAATCGCAGATGCTCCTTGCTGATGGGTATCATACCAGAACTATCTCCCCTTGAATCTTGGACTAAATAGAACTTGTCATTCTTCCAGCACATTCACTTCCTTGGGTCCGTATCTCTTGTATCTATGTTCCGATTTATTCCCGTAATATTTACGATTATATGCATCCAATCTTTTCGATTTTCACTATTTGCGTTAAAGCAAAATGTGACCATTTGAACCGATACACATTCGTGCTCCGTTCAAATGATTGTGACACTGACTGGCTGAAACGTTCCATCTGCATAAACGATGGATAACTTAGATAAAAGCTTATTCCAAATAAATAACTTTACGCATTTCAAAGTTAACAAATAAGTAATCGAAACAGAAGGTAAAACAAAAATCTTGTAAATTCATAAGGAGAAATTAACTATACATATTTTGAATTTGTGAAGAACTCAGTATGACCAGAAGGTTCTTTGTAAGAAAAATTTAAATCGAATTTACACGACCGTCAATAATCGAAAGTGAAGCACACTACGAAACACAGACGTAATTTTTGGAATTCAAACACTGATAACTCTGATACCCAGCCCTTCTGAACTTTTAGAAACCAAATTTTAAAACATTTTCGTGGTAATCAAATGATCTCGGTTTTTTATTCCTACATTAAATATAAGAAATACATACATAACAGATGACGAATTTCACTCACCTAATGTATAAAAAACTGAAGTTTTCGATTTATTATGCCTAGATGAGATTGAAAGAAAACATTATTAGAATAATTTCAGTAAAAATAGATGCTTGAAATGAGTAAGTGACAAAATGAAGTCATCATTTATTTTAACAGTTAATACATGCAAATTTTGCGGAAGATTTTGATTTTGTATAGCCGATATAGTGTTAGCAGAAGTGAAAAAATCTTGAACTAAATAATCCATAGAAAAAACGTCCGATGAACGTCTCAAAGCCTTACGTTTTAGGTTATATATTTTTATGAGTAGCCTTAAGTATCATGGCTTATTTTCAAATGGGAAAAATCTCTCGAAAATAAAAAATGCCCACTAGTTACACATAGTCTTAAACAGAGAGCAGATTAAAATGTTTGCCTACAAAAAAGTCCTAACAAACAATATATATCAGATACGAAGGATCTAGCTGGATCAAGAGCACCGACAAATTTACTTGGTTCCGACATACAAATTGCGAATCCTCTTACCTATTAACTTCTTACTTTGTAGTAATCATTGTCATATTCGATCCACAGTGTTGATTGACCTTTACCTAACAATTTATAGTATGACCACTAAGCTAAGCTATTTTAAATTGCAGTATTTTATTTGGTGTCAGGTAATCAGAATAAATCGGGGGCGGTTTGAATCTCACGGGGAGTATTTACATTCCAAACACAAATTACGGGTGAAAATAAAATCTACAGAGTACCGATTGTAATGAACTATACATGGGACTAAAATATCTCCTACTTTATCGCATCAAGTTCGCTGAAGTAGAATCAGAATGGAATGAAACTCAAGATGGTCAGTCAAAAATTCAACAACGACTGATGTAGATACATTTTTCAGCTTCCCAGGAAACCACACTTTCTGTACATGGACCCTCTAACAGCAGTATTGAATCAACCAGGAAATGTTAGGTTGTACAGCATCAACCTATTCATCGATTGCACTGTTAGATGTGTATTTCGTTATACTATACACATTCACAGTCAGCATTGTTCGCTTCATTGTTTTCCCTCTAGCTATAGTATTTTTTTAAACAAAGCATCTTGAAATGATATATTATTATAACCCGATTTATTTGGTTATCTGTTGTTTGAGGTTGCTAAAATATTCGAATAATTAAACAATTCTGTTCAATTTCCTCAAAAAAGATATCTAGTTCTTCACTAAGGTGGTCTGTAAACTGATTAACACAAGTTATACTATTTTCCACAAAAACTTGATTTATAAAACGAAACACCGAAATCCACTCATTTATGCATTCAACAGCCATTCGTCCATTAAAAAACCACTTAAATAGTTTATAAATGTAAGCAAGGATGATTACAACACCTCACCTCGATAATAAGTTTGAGGCTTATTTATTAGATTGTTGGCTACGCCTTTTAAACGAGAATCAATAACGAACTGTTCCTTAAACATTAGTAGGTAGGTATCGTTTCAAACTCAGTAGTTGAGATCCAATTGCCTGAACTAATTAGGTATTGGTCTACACAAGCCTGAATTAATTAATAGGCAATATACTCACTATATGGATGCAACAATTTAGAGTTTTTAGCAATAAGGTGTGAAGATAAGGCTGTAAAGATCGCCAACAAACTCTAGTTTGGTCCATGATCAAGAGAGTATTGCTTGAGGAGTGATTTAAATTTAGTATACTTGCAAATATTGCATAGTGACAGATGAAGACAGTGATCGGTTGAACTTACCAGTAGAATCTAATTGTGCAAGACTATATAGCCTAAGTAAATTGAAATTTCACAACTGCTCTAACTTTAATAATTGATTCTATGTTATCACTCATAAGAAAGATTCTTTCTCTTATTATGGCAAGATTCGAACATAACTAATTACACCAACGGTGCACACAATCATAAGATCAAACGTTCAAAAGTCCTCGTTACATTTGGAGTTTAAGCGTTACGAACATGAACACTTTGATTTATCAAATGTCAAAATTTATACTTATGTGCTTCTAATTGACTTTATATTTCGGAGAATTGAAGTGTCTGTGAAGGCGGCTTTACAGAACGCGAAACGTTGTGCTCACATGTTGCCACACAGTAAGAGTCTATGGTCACTGGAGTAAATCAAAACTGTGAAATGTCTATTTAGCAGACATATCGCCACAAACTTAGAGACAAAGTGGTCTAAATGTGTTGCCAATTCCTAAGACTTTGCTAGTGAACATAACTATTAGTCAAATCAAACATCCATGAGGAAACTAGACTAGGAGAGTCTGTAATAAGTAACTGAACAAGTGTCACGAGTAATGTCCTATATTCATGATTCATAAAATCAAAAACCGGCGAAAATATAATTTATGGACGAAGCAATTATATTTAAGGTGACTGATCTTAAATTTTGGCGCGAAACTCATTCACTCATTTGGTTAAATATCATTTAGGTATTATAGCTAATGTCAGTGATGAAAGCATCAAATCTAATTCCTAACCCTAAGGTTTAACTGTAAATCCTAATTCCTCACATTAATCTATAACCTTTATTTAACCCTAGTAAGTAGTTGGGCATTCTAAGGTCATTTTAGCGCTGTTCAAAGGTCACCAAGAAATTATAGTCTGACCCAAGAACTACTGAACGAAAACTGACAATAGACAGATACTGTTCCGAAAAGTAGTGCGGCAAAAGCTTAGGCATTTTAGTGAGCTACCGATGTCGCTTCGACTCATCAAGAATTATATTCCTGGTGATCCTACCACCAGAATATTTCAAATGTTCAACAAACTATTTTCCTAAAGCACTCAATCGACAGCACTAAACGTATATGCGGGAAAATCAAGTAATGAACACAGTAAATGTGAGTATTCCGGGGAGAACAAAAGATCACAAAAAGTGTAAACGTCTTACCAGTTTCCATTTATTTCATAAGCAAAATCGATAAGCGTTATGTGTTGTACATAGACAAATAAAATCCCACCAACGATTCCCACAATCATCCACACTGTAGATCAAAGTTACTTAAATTCTAACAAACCTCTAGTGAGGGTTTCTAGGTATGGGAAAAAGTAAGCAGTAAACCACAAACTGACAATAAAGAACACTTTCCACAACCAGTACCTACAAGTATAAGTTACTACATATACAAACTACCCATTATGAATTTTTCCCCGAAAAGTCTGACTGGAAGAGACTGCGATGGTGAAAAATGTCATTAGGATATGAAAAGTGAAGAGAGAAAGACATATACGATAAACACCAATATATCCTATAATTCTGTAACATCCTTCACCAGCTCCAATCTGAGAGCAAAACTGCTCAAAATTGTCTCTATGCTATCGCATCATTAGGAATGTTAAATTAAACATACTCTGAGATACAGCGAACTTAAAACTCCACCCTCATGTGATGCAATTGACATAAATGTTATAAACACAAGAATAAGTGTGTACGCAAGCCGTGTTGTGGTCGATTCTCGAGAATTTTTTACACAACACAGAAAGCATGGATACGCTCCAAAACCACATTTTAATGTTCGCCCAAGACAACCCATAGAAATCTATTAAACATGTAGTGGTGATAGGAGAACATGCTCAACGTTTGACTAGTTCATCGTTATTGACCTTGAAATAGTATCTTTGATGCTGGTTCATTAAAAGTTAAGAAAAGTGAAATGGAAATCTGTACTACAGAAAACGTTAATTCACACACTTTGTGATGAAAATTTGTTGTTATGTCGTTTTAATCTATTTCTGCATGCGATTCCGTGGTATTACTTAAATTTCTAGCTGTTATATACTCTTAAGTGAACTCCCAACTTGATATGTTTCAAACTACGAACTTTATTTAATAAAAATGATGAACTATTTTCACGGCTATATAAGTGAGTAGTGTGTGGGCGTTTTTTTCCGAGTTTGGATTATCTAGGTGAACATAGTAGGGTGTAGCTGTAAATAATTCCCCAAAATCAATAGTTCATTAAGTGTTCGACATTGGATGCTGAGCACGTTGTTTAAGTGGACTTGTTTAGCTGAAGGCTTTCGGCCATGCATCCGCACCAGATCACGTTTCGACTCGGCGTGGGACACAGCTCCTATGTTTCATTAGCCAGCTCATAGAAAAGGTCCTCGATATATTGGTAACGAATCAAATATTATCTTTCCTGCCTCTTCTCGTCTGACTTCTGATTTCTATCTGACTGGGAACGATCGAATATAGAAGGTGCTACTGGTAACTAGTTGTAAAATTAGAACATCCGTTGCATCATCAAGGGTAATTCGAGTTCTCATTTTTTTATCACGTTCCAAGAGATCGGTATCCTACTTAGTCAAAAGAGTTACGTTTCATTGGTTTTTTCCCGTATGTCTTTTCGAGTACACAATGAAACTGGTTCTAAATAACTCTGTAAATACAGTACAGTTCAGTATGTTAAACTGGTTTTAAAATCTTACCAGTAAGAGATATAGTATCACACAAAGTGATTGCCGGAAATGTCATGTCAAAGTCAGTCACAAAGTATGAGATGAGTGTGTGTTATAGATATTTATTACTGTCAAGATGAAATAGCTTTCTGATGGGCAAGTCTTCCTTTATTAATTCTTCATGAAAAAATTCTATCTTCAAATCTCAAAAACATCTGAACATAACACGGTATCGTTATATAGAGGAACAAATATAATAACTGAAAATACAACAATTTGTGGTCTAGTGATCGAGCTCCGTTATTCTCTGCTCGTCACTGAAAGACAACCAGATAGAGTAGGGCGAATTCCGATGAATTGCGATCTCTACAGTTAGTAGTTTAAAAGCCATTTCATCAAACACCCTCCAATAGGGTACACATTAGTTTCCGGTAAAGAAATAGATAGTCGACTATATGAACGCTTTGTAATAATCTATAAAGCGTACGTATACCAAATGGTTATTCCCTAATGATTGTTCAGGATTCTGGCTATTCAACATATTTGCATTATAAGGTCTATCTAGGAAAACGAAACTCGTTTATTTTAGCATGTAGATGTGTAGATTTGTGGTCTAATTATGTATCAGTACATTTATCTTTGTCGTTGTAATTATAGACCTAATTCCTATGTTGTAATAATGTGACCGACTAATCTTTAAAATCTTACTCAGATGCTACTTCATAGTCCACACTGACTCATCTTATCGTGACAGTCAGCATTTCGATATTTAGTACATCTGATGTCACAAAGATCGTGTGGTAAGAAATCAATGCCATTACAGATGTCTATTGGCTAAATAGTGCGCCATAATAATTTATTCCTGAATGACCATTTTCAGGCCTTATTCCCTGTTTTCCCCATACTTAATTGTTATGAGAGATGCTTGAATCATCTCATTTATTTTAAGATATCCTGTTTACTATCTCTTTAGTACTGAACTTTCAGCCTAAATATTGGCTTTGAGTTAAACACTTCGTTCCTAGGCTTCGGAAGACATACAGATTGGCTGTATGCAATTAATTTTGTCTCCATATCTGTCAGAAAGAGCAGTATTTCCGTAGATTTGCGATTAAATACGTGAAGTTTTAGTTCACTTGCTCGATTTATTTTGCTTGAGATTGTAAATCTAATGAGTATTCGTCTATCAACCTCCCAGTGTCTGGAATTGAAAATTTAACTACCTAGGTTTAAAATTTTTTTATAGTACTTCATAGCCAACTAGGCGGGAAACGTTAGCAGGACAGCACCCATACATATACCATTAGCAATCTTTGTAAAACGTACTTCATTAATCGTCCAGTGATAATTTTTATTCAAATTGCATTACAGGTAAAACACATCCAAAGTACCTGGAATTTAATATAAATCTCATGGTCGTCTGTAGAGAAATTAAACACTGAGGAATGTGTTTTAAGATGGATTCTGAAAAAATTAGAAGGATGAAGCGGCCGTTCAATGCTTCCAGGCTTTCCATGGTGTTCTAGCTTCAATTAACTCATGATTTCAACTATGAAAAATTATTAAAATCCACAAAACGTCCTCTTCTGATAGTAAATAAATCATGTGACTTCACGAAATTACGTTTATTTAGGACTGAACAAGTAATAAGCACTTAAATATGGTTTCTACCAAGCTGTTAAGATAGCACAGAAGAGAATTCTGTAATGGTAAACAAACCTCCAAAACAAATGGTCCTGTAAGTCTTCATTATTGATGCTGACCATATTAGTTTTACTTGACACATCATAGCTGAAGGTTCTCTGTCACCCATCAGCATTTGATCAAAGGTAGTTTCACCGTGTTTCCCCTTTCTTGCAGAACTAGCCAGTTTGGATCAAATGTTCTAAACCTATCGACAACCATGTTCAATATATCTTCGAGCGCATCATTTACTGATTTCTGGTTGGGCTAGGTTGGTATTCTCGTACCTGTAGGTAACCCACGTTCTATCGATAGAAGAAACCAGCTTAGTAGTGATTATGTCTTTATTGATCTCGTGGGACATTCACAGTGGAACGAGAGGTTACCTGTTCAAACACTGAAAGATATTCAGAATTCAATATAAGATAAAAGGAAATATAATGCCTGTACGAAATGAAGAAGTGAATAAATACTTGAGGTCTTTTGTCTTGATATATAATTAGTTGTTTGAGTTCAACTCTTAATTAATCAACCTAGGTTGTTACAGTATCATTCGATTATAAAAAACATCGCAAACAAATGTGTTCTAAGACCTTGAATACCTAACAAAAACAGGATGAAGCTGTGCCTGTAGTAGTCTGTGGTCCCCTAGTAAAAGTTGATAGGCACTTGATGTGGACACTTGTCGATAAGCCAGCAGAAAGCTATCGATGACAACCGTTTACACTGAAGAATCATTCTGTTAGTGATAGGACACATATTTACCAAGATTCCGGTTGTATGAATTGTAAATTCAGTGTATATTAGGATTGAAAAGCCGTGGAAGTTTAAGTAAATTTTGTTTAGTGAGCTTGTTTACTTTCACGTTTCATTCTGGTATGGTATTTTTACTGAGTCACAGTTAATTGAAACACTTTGTTTGCAAGATGAAAGTTATCAACCCGAATATATTTTCAATGAGATTTTAAGTTTTCAATGCAAAATTTGAAAAATACTAAACCAAAGCAGTGTGAAGTCGAAGGTTTTTAAGGTCGAAATTATAAACAAAACTGTTCAGAGTTTGAGAAGAACAAACATAACTAAAACGCACTTATAATTGTCATGTTCACGAACACAGTTAACAGTCGAGTAAACATATTGAATCTCTCTTGTTGTCCTTCTATTTTTCAAATAATTACCATAGTTCCTCAGAGTTAACTGGGATAGCTTTGTTGAACAACACACATAATCGTAGGTTGCAGCTACACTCTAGCAACCAAATAAAGTGGTTAGTAGTAATTCGGAAAACTCTTATTGGAATCAAAATATCATAGATATGACATTTATTTATCACCTTATCATACGCAGGTATTACGTTTTCAAATTTCATCCAACTTTTCCCTTTTGAATGATGAACATTTTGGACGTCACGAAGGTTATTTTAAGGTTCTACGTTTGCTACCCAATTTGTGTAATAAACTGTATAGCTGTTGATGTATTGGTTCTCAACCACACGATTTTTAAATCTGAATATTTGGTAACTGAGATAATTTACGTCCAACATTCAACATTTATAGAAGGTTAAAATGATGTGTGCAGAAACACTTAGACGGTGTGGAATGGCCTAACCATTAAGGTTTGATCACTACTTAAGTTCTTCCCCTGCACAATAAACGTATTATCACAGTCCTGGACGAAATGTATTTTTCTGAACTACTTGGAAGTATATCTCTGACGGTCATGATAGGAACAATCACTATAGACAATGATATAACTTTACTTAAAATCTTATAGATAGGGTGGTGACATCGTGGAATAGGTCTATTATTCATGTGGCATAGCTAATTGTACTAATACTAGCCTAGATAATAATCTTAAGAGCTCATCACTCTGTACCACATAAGGAAGTTAAGCGTGCCTGAATTGTGTCGTCTACGACAGGTGAAACTGCCTACTGCAATAACTCTTCATACATTTACTAATAAAAAACAATTTCCTTGAATGTAAGAAGTCAATTCTTGTCCAAAAAGGATATGATCTAAGTAGTCCAACGGTTTTCAAGAACAAGTGTGATATTGGAGGTCCAAGCCATCTGCAGCGTTTAAAATGTTCCAGATTTCACACTGTCCTCCGTGTTGCTTGTGTGGCATATGGGTCTTCCCAATTAAGTAAATAACCAGAAAAAACTGTCTGCAAAGATCCATTTTATGTTCTAGTGATTCTTATGATCAACAACTATTGGCAGGTTAAAAATACTATTTTTCGAATCCCTTTCAAGCTGCTTTCCATAATGGTTTCTACTAATGGATTTCACATGGCTTAAAACTTGTTATGAAGAACTATCTTAGTCCATGAGTTTGTTAGCACGTCAGATAAGTTTTGATACAATCGTCTGTACCGTGACTTATCCCTTATCAGGACAGTCGAATATTCCCAACAATCCTCTTGGGTCACATACACACAAAACTGA